ACGCTTCCAAAGTGGAAAAAAGTTGGTCTCTAACTTCTAAAATAAGAAAATGAAAAATCTAAAAAAAACATATGATGTACATTACTATAAACGAAAATTGTTTTGAACGAGATCTAGTAAGTAGTTTTTTTTAATACCTCGTAAATCGTAAACCGCTTATTACCGCGTAATCTTTCATACAAATAACTTAAATTAAAAAATAATAATTTTAATTTCATAAATCAATGGTACGGAACCCTTTGTGCGTGAGTCCGACACGCACTTGGCCGGTTTTTAAATAGTAGGGCGCTACTATCAATATTGGGTTGTTTCAAAATCATTGGACTATACCTATAGGTCTACCAGAATCTCAAGGCAAATGAGGAACTAATGGGAAATAAATTAAGAAATAAAATGTGTTTTTCTCTAAGGATATTTATTGGGCTTTCAAATAACACCAATATTGTTGGGGCACCATGATTGTGTTCGTAGAAACGACTTTTCCTGTAAAAGGTGGTGAGGTGGGCCGATTTTTGTGATGACCAGTATATTAGTAGTAGTAGTAGTAGAAAACAGACACAAGCCCCATACATTTTAAGAGAGTAAGACTAGATTTAAGTAAAAAAATCGTGAATTTTTTCTTTTCGGTTATTTTCAAATACAAGACAAACCAGCTCGCTAAGTATGTTTTATCACATACAATAAATAATGCCATATAAAATTACACGTTTTAAAATATTTTTTTTATGCCATGAGATTCCGGCAGACCTAGTTATTGGTGCACAGCAACGCCATCTCGTCGCAGGATACAAAACGAATTATTTAGTGGCAAAAAGCATGGTCCGTTGGGCGTGGATAGAATAAATAGTTTTTGCTTTTAGTAACTAGATGTCGCTGTGCGTAGTTGACTCGCGCAATTATTTGATTTTTTCCAATTCTTAAAACGGTACATGGCAACTTTATTACATCGGACAGACAGACGGACGGAAAGTAATGTAGGGTTCCGTACTATTGATTAATATCAAATATTTTTGGTCGGTTGCGAAGCAGAAATGCTGTAGCTAACCGTAATTAAAATTAAAAAAGAATAAAATGTATAGTCTGGTCCGGGAGCACGTAGAATTTTGTGCTTGGGGTCATTGGACAAAACTATAGAACAATTATTTATAAGTTATGCTTTTAAAAATGCATGTTAAGATATAATTTATATTTTATTTTTGTCCGTTTTAGATACAGGGTGTTTCCTGTAAGGAAATAAATTATTTGCTAAATACATAAAAACATAATAACTTATTATTATTAGCAGATCACGATCTTTTCAACTTAAAAGTTGTAATTAAGAAAAAACTTCCATAGGTCCTTAATTATCGTTCATAATAATACAAAAAACATGTACTCAATAGGCCACTATTTCCTGTAACCGCTCCACTCGTAAGTCGGAGATTCCGTTTCATGTTTTCGACTTTCTTAAAGTGAGTTAATATGGGCAATTCTAAATTTCGCATTATGTAGAATAGATTTAGAGACTGAACTGAACAGAACTTGTTTTTATTCTCAACAAAGAAGCTTTTGCCCTTCATCACACCTGGTGGAAACTGACAATTAGGCTGAAGGTGGAAAGGAACTTCAACTACAGAGGAACTATGGCTTCCTATTTATATTTTTTTCAAACATCTGCTAATATTTGTACCAGAATCTCATGGCAAATGGAGAAAATAAACTTTGTTGAGTGCAACTGGGGAAACTGGATAAACGATCTTGATACTGTATGAATTTAATATTAACATGAAGTACGAATATACATTTTAGGTATATGTATGTAGAATGTTGTTATACATAAGAAAATGTCTTGAAAAATAATTAAATCGTATATTACTTTATGTATGTAACTAATATTATTATGTATCGTTCTTATAACTATCAATTCATTCAGAACTAGAAAACGATTCTAAGTTTTTGCTTTTAGTAATTAGATGTCACTGTGCGTATTTCAATCGCGCTATCATTTGATTTTTTCCAATTTTTAAAACTGTCCATTTCAGATGTAAAGAATCCCAAATCTGGATTATAAATACTTTTCTGATATTTTTGCTCACCGTATAAACTAGAGATGAAACGGATGGCCGGATAGTTGGCCCATCATTGTCTCGTTGCATTTCGTGTCTGGATTAGCGCCGCACAGGTGCTTCGAACGCGTTTAGTGGGTCTATTAGTAGATTAGACTAGTCACACTTTTCGAAAATCGAATTCGTCCGAATAGAATGTCAGATTTTGCCACTTGTCTAGGTGGCATATTAATTCGGGCGATTTCGTTTGCCATCGTGAGTGTGTGATTGAATAGCGAAAATTAAATTACATAGTTTACTCGCTGCGTAATCTGACTGAACTGCATCATTTAATTTTGTCGTCATCACATCAGACCATCATCAGTGAAAAAAAGATCGCCTATTTTATTTGGCAATATTTCGACATTAACAGGAAAAATTTCCGTGCTTTTAACCCTTCATTCGACGGAATTTTTTTTTAGTTAAATTTATAAAACAGTTACAGATTTCGTTTCTTAGCTTGTATGGGACCCCAGAAAAAATACCCAAAAAATCTAACTATTTCAGTTTCCTGAAAAACCTATGTCCAGTATACTGGACATTGCCAAGTTCATAAGAAAGTGACGCTCTCCAACCATGTCCAGAATACTTCCCGTTGTCGAAGAGACAGAAAAAAGAAACAAGTGGTTCCGTAATAAAATATTAATTATCATCATCATAATTTCAGCTTTATGACGTCCACTAATGAACATTATNCGAACGCGATCAGTGGGTCTATTAGTAGATTAGACTAGTCACACTTTTCGAAAATCGAATTCGTCCGAATAGAATGTCAGATTTTGCCACTTGTCTAGGGGGCATATTAATTCGGGCGATTTCGTTTGCCATCGTGAGTGTGTGATTGAATAGCGAAAATTAAATTACATAGTTTACTCGCTGCGTAATCTGACTGAACTGCATCATTTAATTTTGTCGTCATCACATCAGACCATCATCAGTGAAAAAAAGATCGCCTATTTTATTTGGCAATATTTCGACATTAACAGATATTTACCATTTATGTATTCGCCATTAGAGAGAATAGCCCAGAAAAAGAAATTAGTTTTTTGAAAGGCCTTAATAGGGCTTTTTGTAACTTATTGGACTTTAAATAAAAGCCGTCACTATTATAAGCCATTTTATTGATATTTACCTCAAAGATCAATGTATTTCATTTTAGTAATAGGAAATTGTCGTAGTTTTTTAATATCCGGTATCCGGCCGGATAGTGAGTTACTATCCGGTATCCGGCCGGATAGTAAATTTAGGCCGGATAGTTACCGGATATCCGTTTCATCTCTAGTATAAACTCATAAAAGTAATTTATTTTTTAAGTAGGCTTTTAAAAAGCACTTTTACAACGTAAGTGGGTGGGTATTTACCTCATTGTTGTACCAAGGATGTTACGGAACCTTCGATAGCATATCGATGTCGATAATATTATGTATCGTGTGATAGTTTTCTTCGATATCGATACTAAAGACAATTGCAATACTATCGAGTTTTTCGTCCGATACTCTCGATAGTTTTTCGTCGATATAATAAGTACAATTAGTCTATGCCTTTACAACTAGTAACGGTTACTGTTACAGTTACGGTTAAAGTTAGGTTAGTGCATCTCAGTTGTCTTGTTTCTATTACCAAAAATGTTTACTATATCAATCTCAATCCGCGAGGTAAATTAAATGAGGGTTAAGTCAGAGGTGGAATTGTGTAAAGCAGTCGTTATCATTTGACAGTTCATAACGTACGATTATTCTGTCAAACGCTTTGTTTATAGATGACCCACGCTGAACTGTCCCACCAAACTCAATGACAGGGGGGCGCTACCATCGTTCAACTATATGGTTTCCAACATGGCAAAAATCGAAACCAGCGATCCGGTATTGACGGTGGCGCCCCACTGTCAATGTCATGCATAGGACAGTTCACTATTTTGGAACTANACGCTTTGTTTAACTGACTTTATCGTACGTTATGAACTGTCAATTGATTACGATTGCTTTACACAGTTCCACCTCAGGTTCATTACAATCAGCAATATCTCACACTGTTCTTTGTTGCAGATGAGGAAGAGCAATTCGTCAACGACGCGTATGGCGTGAAGATGCGAGGGCCCGGTATCAACAACAGCGACAACACGGAGGAGCGGAAAGATTCCTCCCACCCTGACCCAAGTAGTAACTCTTTAGACTCCGACCTCCGCTGGGTCGAAGAGAATATCCCAACCAGCACACTCCCACTTCTGGACTCGGACGAAGAGATAATAAACACCAAGTTCGAAGTCTCCAAAATGCAGTAGTTACTTAATCGAATAATGTAAAAAGTATTTATGTAAATGTCAACTTGTGATTTCATTTTTACCTATCGTAGGTTTAAGTTTTTTGAGTAAATGTTCTATATCGTACAAATTCTTGAGTTTCAATGTTTTAAATTTTAATTATTTAGCCTAGCTGCAGACTGTAGACTTTTTGCTGGCAGATAGTTGGGTCGGGCTGACATTCGACAGTTTGAAAGTACGCACATTACCCCCATTTGGTAAGAGTAGGCGCACACCGTTGATTTTTCGTCGGCGGATATTTTAGTCGGGCAGTTGATCAGTATGGGAGAGCGCACACTACGCGGATTCGATTTGGCCGATTCTTCATACAATTTAAAATCGGGCACACTATCGGCCAACTAAAAATCAACGGTGTGTCAACTCTAAATGCCAATTTTTCATACAAACTAGAATCAGGCCTATCGGCCAAGCCAACTAAAAGTCTGTGGTTTGCGCCTAGGCTAAATGCATGCATGTGAAGTGAATTGTTTAGGCGTGTGGCTATTAGACCTTCCAACTGGTGCTTCTTGGATGTCTGGTGTCGATAAAAAGCTTTCAAAATTCAGATAAAACATTTATTTGTACATACACTTTTTAAATATCTTTTGTTCGTGATCTTTGGTATATAAAATAGAATATAATATTGGAATATGGCCACAATACTTATGAAAACTACTTAATGGAAGTTGATAAAAGTCAGTCAATACAAAGTGTAATTGGAAATTCAGAATACAATATTAAATTGATAAAATATGTGTTGCCTTTAAATTATACATATTTATTTATAGTAATAATCTTAATAATTAAACTTAAAATACTTTGTGCTTTAATCTTATACAATTAAAAGTCTTTTTGAAATGATTATTACATCCATGGAAGAGAAAATATCATGATTACATATATTGAAAAATATTAATTAACTAAGTCATTATAAATGAATGTCGCTATGTAGGCGTCGTATAAGTTACGCATTCGCCGAATGACAAAGAACGGAAATGCTTCGGCGATGCAAAGATAGTGGTGCCAATTATGGAATGGACATCCTAATATTCGTCATAGTTGCTAGCTATAAGCATAGCTATTAAAAATCAAGGTTTAAACACATTGTAAATATTTTACAATCTAATCTCATTTGAATAATCTAATAAAATGATACATAAAAGTTACAAATAACTTATAATCAAATTTTGTGGAGAGAGGTTTTTAAAATTCCTGTCAGGAAAAGGATCTAACCTCTAGGTTTATGGAAGATCTTAACAGTTTTCACCAAAAATATTATATCAGTCAGATAATCTATTATAAATATCTCAAACTAGAGCCAATTTTACTGAGAAGTATCAAAGTATTAAAATTATTTATTCCCAAACTCCCAGGTCCTAAACTAGTTATACATCATAATGGAAATCATAGTCATCTGGCTCCTCAGGTATCTGAGGAGGGTCTTGGGGAATATCTATACCTTCAGCATCAAGCAGCCTAACTTTAATATCCATAGACAACAAAGTCTCCAAGTCACATTCAAATGATTTGCTGGACATTTTCTCTTTTAGCAAAGCATTTATCCCATCCGTCCAGTAATCAAATATCTGTTCATCTGGTGCCACAAAGTCCAAGGAAGGTACTTCTGCTGACTTAAGAATCAAAGAAAAAGCTAAATGCAGGTTTATCTTTCTCCCTTTCAAGTCTTTCATATGGGGACAGTCTTTGCCTACAACAACACACTTTATTTCTGCAACTGGCAACTTGCTGCCCAACTCCTCTAAACTGGGTGTACTTTTTTCGTCACAGTCACCATAATGTAAAACTTTGTGGTTAGGTGATAAACGGACAAACCAAAACTTGTCTTTTATCCTTTGTGCTCTTGGGGAGTACTTTTTGAATCTTGTACCACCAACCAATACACCAAGTCTCTGCTGTTGGATCAAGTCAATTATTTCAGGCGTTATTTTCTCTTTCAATTCCACAATAGGCCTTGCATGAGACTCCCACACTTCCCTGTTGTTGCGTTCCTGTTGCCATATTTGTGTGATCTCTGAGTATGTGAGCTGGTTTATCCTTTGTCTGAACTTGTCAATTCCTTTGGGAGCTGATAATAGTGCCCGATTTATCTGTTCCCTGACTACACTAGACACCTTTATGAAGTCTTCTGTTGTTGCTCTCATTTCCTTCCATGTTTTGTTGAGCAATACAATACAGATGCAGAATAACTCTTCAAAAGGATGGTCATGGGTGAAAAACAGAGGGTGGTATGTCTGGCCCTGTTCACTGGGAGGCTCCCCAATGTGAAGAATGTCACACAACTGCTTGATCAACTCAACACTTGTCTTGCCAAACGGACACTCATGCTCATCCGCACGGCAGCTGTTTTCTAGAACAATCTTTGTATAATCCTCAGGATAATTCCTAGCAAAATAAAGCATACAATCCAATGCTAGCACCCCAGGTGGGACTTCATTGAAATCTTTTATTGGATCAATTTCACATTTAAATCCAAGTTTTTTGAAGTCCTTTGAAAAGCTTCCCAATTGACGTCTTGTGGTTACCTCAATGTTGAAATTGTTGTCATTTTCAAAGGCAATTTTCCTCAATTCTTTGATTTTTTCTTGGGACTCTTGCTCCTGGGAGTCTGCTCGTTGTCTCATTTTGGGCTCCAACAAGCCAAGCATGAGTGTTTGGAGCACATAAAGTTGGTGTGCTAACTCTGTACCAAGTGCCTCTTTGGAAGCATTCTTTGAGAATTCACTTGCACCAATAAGATTTTCATAAATTACATTCCGAACTTGCTTAGATGCTAATGTTGCTGCAATGGCTTTCTTTTTGGTATGGTCTGCTTTGGAGAATATGGCGTTAATAAGGGCAATAGCATTCTGTTGTATGATACTGTCCTGATACGGGTTTTGCAAATGTGAAACTAAACTGGGCATAGTAATTTCCTGTTCAACATGTTGGTTTTTCCCTGAACTATTGAGTACAATGTTTTCAAGTATGGAGAGGCATGACTGGATTACTTTTGGGTCTTGTGTGCTTGTCTGATTGCTGATGAAACTGGCCACTTTATTGATGAACTGATTTTCCAAAATATCCCACGAAATAATGCCATGGTCCATAAGTTCAACAAACGTCACGAGAGCGTACTTGAGGCAATTGCCTTTGAATCTGCCAGTTTCGATGTTATTTATGATCAAAGAGAGACCTTTTTTGTTAATGAATTCTAGTGCGAATGTTAAATCGCTGCTTAGAGTTGATAACTTGGTCAGCGCAGCGGTTTGCTCTGCTTCGGATCCTTTGTTGATTTTAGCCAAGATGTCCTGCACTGTTTTCGCTGGGGACTGCTCCAGTCGCAACACAGACCCATTTTTAATCTCGTTGCGGTTTTTCTCTGTTATATAGTTTTGGTTATTGCTTTCGGAGAACTGCAGCGCGTAGTTGTCGGGGTCAAGGAGACCCCACGGCTTGCACAGGAGCTGTATGATACTCGACAAGGGCTGACTTTGATCGAACTCTATCAGCTGTGGCACCTTGTCGGGCGCATTTAGCATTTCCACAGCAATTTTCAAAATGGTCGAATCTTTCTCTTTGGTTGCCGACGGCATTTTTATTGGCTTTGTAGACATTTATCCACCATTTGTTAAAAAATGTAAATCACAACAACTTCCACCACACCTCAAAATTATGACGGAATCTGACGGAATCCGATTGATTTGACTTGACAGCAAAATTTTGTGTCAAATTTTGACAATTGTATATTTTTAAATTTTAGACATGGCCCTTACTTCTACAATTCCGTCAAAACCATCGACAAAATGAATCACATCTTAAAACTTAAAAAGATCCGAGAATCTTCGAGTATTTGCTTATGGAGTGGCAATTGGTTGACCATGACCATGTGATACGTATCATTTGATTTGGAAGCCGATTTTACTATTCAATAATGTGTTCAATTCGTATGTAGGTACACGACTCACTACGGCAAGATGGTCATCTTTGTCGCAGAGTGGCTAAGAATTCTGCTTCGCCAGAGGTTGCAGGTTCGATCCTCGTAGTACTTACAATGTTAATTTTGTGTGCATGATCTTATTTATATGCATTGGTCTGGTATTCCAGATTCGTAAACGTAGTATTTTTACACAGGCAAATAGAACTTTCATATTTAATTAGGTATGTTTACCGTTGTCTTGTACCTTATTATCTACATTATTATTTTTACTTTATTTACACTGAAAGTTATGTATTTAGGTAAATATAGCTTGTATTACCAAGACTGTTAACTATGTGAATAAAATTGAGGCCACAAGTTAAGATTAATTTAGAATCAGCTACAGGGCTAACAAACAATTAGGTTCAATACAACCGTAACACGAGTTGTTAATTAAAATCATTACGTAGGTCTTTAGGACGCTATATAAGTCACAATTCACAAACAATAAGATAAAACATAGCTTGTATTGCTACATAGAAAAACTGAATGTTATTTTATATCAGCATCACATTATTGTATTAAGAATGAAATTACTTGCCATAAAGTGGTTCATTATGTTTATAACGATCATGTCGAATCACAAAGTTCATAGTTTTCGATGCGATAGAAGACCGTATGGAACCACCACACAGTCTTCTCCAGCTGACGGTAGATTCGTGCTACAGATTGTTGGTACCCACAATGCGTACTTGCCAGATCAACTTTACACTGGTAAGTGTTATTTACTATCTAATCACACCTCATTAAAGTTTAGTTATGTTAATAGGAATGAATGATACTGAAGCTTTAATAATTTATAAAATAACACTGGATTTGTTTGATTGGTTTTTCTATTAGTTCAAATAACAGAAACCGATGGTGCGTCGAGGTTTACTGGGTTCATGATATCAGCGGAAGGAGACTTGAAGCCAGATCCGCGAAACCCTCGCAGGATGATCACCCAATATCCTGGGGAGATTCGTCCGCAAACTTCAAATACTGCGAAGTACAGCGACCGTTGTTTATATTCCGTTGAACACACAATCGCTTCTTTAAAAAATTCTGTTGAGGTAAGAAGGCAACTATTTCTTAGTGCTGTCTTCTCTAACTTTTCCTTCTTGATGGATATTAAACTGTGTTTATATTAGGTGTATTGGAAAGCTCCTCCATCAGGCAGTGGCTGCGTCACTCTCCGCGCCATGGTAGCGGAAAATGACAATGTTTGGTTTGAAGATGGGTCGCCGTTGACTCTACGCGTCTGCGAAGATACAAGGCAACCAGACGATCTCTCCCTACAGTCAAATTACAACTGCCAAGTTTGCGATGAAGCTAAATATGAGGTTTATCCATACGCTTTGTGCTTGTAAAATAATATTGTATGAATACAATACATTTATAAGAAACTTTGTTTTGTACCTAGATTTCTTTCACGGGGATATGGTCACGTAACACGCACCCACGGAACTTCCCGGAGAACGATTGGGTTCCAAAATATAGTGACTTAGTTGGAGCTTCCCACACCGCAGATTTTATTTTGTGGTCTCCCGGTACCGTCGCAACTGACGGCTTGCGGCAACTGGCTGAACATGCAAATTCCAGCAAGCTTGAAGAAGAAATTTTAGAAAAGGTAGGTGAGGTATTTGTATTAAAGATACTTGCTACATTAAGTATAGCAAAGACAGAATAGGTAATCTAACTGATCTTTCAGGTAGGCGATGGAGTGCGTACATTAATAAAAGGTAAAGGACATGGCGACCTAAAGATGAATATGCCGACATACGCATTTTTCCGGAGTGACAAAGATAACCACATGATTAGTGTGGCAGTGGGAATCTACCCTTCACCGGACTGGTTTCTTGGCATTGCGAGGTTTGAGCTGTGTCAAGAAGATAACACTTGGCTCCAGGAGAGGGAGTTAAACTTGTTCCTGTGGGATGCTGGTACTGACAGCGGTGTTTCGTATGAAGTGAGTGTAGATTAAATACATTTTTTTGTTTTTATTAAGTTTGTTATAAGTTTTTAAGTAATCATCGTTACTTATTTCAGTCAGCGAATATTGAGACATTCCCACAAGACGCAGTAAATCGGGTACAAATGAGCTCCTACGACAAAAACTCTCCTTTTTATGGTATAGACATAAAAGACGTGCATCCGTTTGGAATACTCAGCATTAGACTTGTTAAAACATACCACAGGCAATGTGAGGAAACACCAGGTAACATGAATGTCAATAACGGTAATATTGACGAATTGATTTTCTTTTAAATAATTTCATACTACTCAAATGTTTTTGAAGAAGGAGAAGAGGGTGGGGAAGATGCCACGGGCGAAGAGGAAAAATCTGAAGAAGAAAATGGTGAATCAAATGGCGCTGAACCTGAAGAACCTTCCAGGTATCAAAACCCAGACCTAGATAGCAGCGACGACGGGGGGTGAGACTATCTACCAAGTTATTGGCACAGTGACCATTTTCATGTGTCATTATCATTACAAAACTCTCCTGGGACATCATTAAGTTTTCCGTTTATCATTCATCTTCATTTTCCATCCATCGATAAACATAATATTTATCTAATCCTTTAACCACTTGATTTTCAGCATAATTTGTTCATTTTATTTCTGTACTCGTATGTGCCCTTTTGCTAGTTTATTATTACAAATTGCGCTTTTGTTTAAAGTTCGGAAATAGTTCCAAGCGTAGACCCTGAATCTTCAGAGGATTGTCCAATGACACCTTGGGAAGAATGGAGCCAGTGTGAAGGAATTTGTGAGAACAACAAAATCAAAGGGCTCAAATGGAGGGTGCGAAACCATATAACACCTCATGTAAGTTTATGGACCTACCTAAGTATACTATAGATTAATAGTCTTGCACATTTATGACCCTTGAGGTACCTATACGAGACCTTCGCTATTACCAACAACGAAATTAAATTCAAAACCGGATTAAAAATATACTTTTTCTCAATGTGACCATTTAATTCCAGCATGGAGAAATTCCAAAATATTGCAAAAATCATTTCGAAACCTTTGAAAATATTGAGTGTGAAGAAAAATGTTCGGAAAATGAAGATGATATTGCTGGTAAGTTTGTGCCTATGCAACTATTATCAATACGTTTGATATCTTTTATTATAATTATGTTATCGTATGACATTTTAATTTCAGCCCAGAAGAGAGTTATGGTACCCGTGGTATCTGGTAAAAAAATATGGTCGAAAAAAAGAGATCTACCTAAAATAACAAATAAGAATAATTTATTCAATGTAATCTAGGTATTAATCTAAACTGTTGTTATTCCGCAGTAGTATGGGAATTACCTATCTGCTCTTAAGTGGTCTATAAAATTATGTGTCTGAAGTCTAAATAGATTAAATTTTTATTGGAAAACATGTTTTATTTATGTTTTTTACACGAATCGACCAGTTCTGCGTATTGTTTTCGTGGTGATCCTACTTATTTTAGGAAAAAAAGCAACTGATTACCAAGTACTGCACATGTAATTTGGAATAAAGCTCATTATCGCGCGTCGTGCGAATTAGTACACTGCGACGAAGTAAATTGGCTAAAGGGAGATGAATAATGAACTGTGACACACAATTTAAATAACCTTATTAATGGAACAGTTGTGCAGTGTCGTCCAATTGAGAACCATCTACATTCCGCTAATATAGCCGGCGGTGGTAAATTCAAAGTTTATTTTTAGTCTCCGCATAACGATGTCAAGAAAAGTGATTAATTCAAAACTATTTTTTTATTTGATTTTGGGTAAGTTAAAGCTTATGTTATTTAACTATTTCTGGTGTTCAAGTGATTGGTTAATTAAGTAAAGGTAAGTTAAATCTTTGAATTAATTTGCGTAGATTGATTTAAAAGTAACTTATCTATTTTTCAAAATGAACAACTTTTAAGAGACGAGATTGTAGCTAATACTAGCTCAATATGAAGAGGTATAGAAATGACTTCAAAATTAGTAGGTAATGTAGAGCAAAGGGGTATATTAAAATCTACGATGATTAATTCAGATAATCCAAACCGTTAGTTTTAGGACCGTGTTTTCGGTCTTCGGAAATAATATAAAAATTGAAGACCTTTTCGACTCACAATAATTGTTTTTATTTTTCAGGCTTTTTCTTAGCATCGATTGTAGTAAAAGAATGTTACTGCCAATATGAAATGTGCGACCGGCGACCCTTTGATACCAACACCGATCCTTTGCCGCCGGACGATAGATTCGCATTAGAAATAGAGACCATCACCGAGTTGTATATCCCTCTACGCCGATATAATGGTAAAGTAAAATAAATGATATTACCAGCGGTTACTCAACATACCGCTAGCTTTCGTTAAAAGTCGCGGATTCGATCGAATTTTTGTGCCTGAAAGTAATTTCAGTGTTTAGTGTAGGGATTTCCAGACCCAGTAGCAATATTTGAAATAATATTTATAATGTATGTCGAACTCTAAATTTTCATTATCTGATGCTTACCGCTACTTGTTTATTTTGCGTGCGACTCGTTATTTGTTTTTTAACCGATTTTCAAATCACTTCAGATACCTAATCGTATGTTTCAGTTCGATTGTATTCGAAAGATAACAAGACAACATTCATGGGGTTCACCATATGGCTTCGCGAAGACGAGGTTAAAAACGATTTAAACTCGCGAAAGCCACATCGCTTGGACCCGGGCCGCCTGCACCCATCGCCCGACTCGCCCGGGGGAAAAGCTCGCCCGCCATGCAACAACACCGTGATCCAATCGGATATTACGCCAAAAACATCCGTGAATGTAACTAGAAATCTACTAATTTTATTGATTCGTAAAAACGTTGAACAACCGCGACGAAAATAACTATGTCCCGAACCGAAGTATAAGCCCTAAAATAGTCTAATTTTAATTGATGATTGTTTTTAATAGGCTAGTTTCCTAAAAAAATTTTTTTAGCCGTCATGTTTCCAATATTTTTATTTGTCAATCTAACAAATAATTACATAGTTATGGTGCGTTGAAGTTCCGCACGACGTCACAACGTGCGGCACTTTTATGCACGCATTGACGTCACGGGCCTCTTCTTATGAACTTTGGCGCGCTTTATCTCTTTCAATTTTCATTAGTTTGAAAAAGTGAAAAATACGTGTAGAGTAGGTATTTTTTGATAAGTTAACTGACGGACTAATAAAACTCTTGCTTTTTGACCCAGGAAACATCCCTATTGTGATTGTAAATATTAAAGAGTTATTTTAATTTGGAATTCAGTATTTTGGGTCAATTTATTGCACCTACAGTTAATTGTTTAATTACGTGAATAAATATTTTAGGCTCTATGGATTGCGCCGAGGAAAGAAAACATGGTAGGTGACCACTGCGTGATGATATACGCTATTGTAGCTATAAAGCCCGACGTTTGGTATACGAACAAAGGCCCGCTCTCGAAGCGAGTCTGCGAAGACAAACGAGACGCCGACGATATACAGCCCACGCAGAATGACAACTGCCAGGTGTGCATGGAGGCGAGGTATCAGGTAAGAACAGTCATCAGATTTTGATGCCCCTTTGCAGGTGGGTGTAGTTTGGTATCCCCACAAAAATATCACACAGTATGTTGTATTTCTTCCCTTTTATCTACTATTTCCAATAATTTATTAACTGTTGTTTCTAGCTCACCTTCCAAGGTATGTGGTCGTACAACACGCACACTGAAATGTTCCCCATATTTCAAGAGCAGGCCAGGTTCAGTGATGTGGTAGGGGCATCACATAGCAAATACTTCAGCGTATACAAATATGACTCGGAAGCTAGCGCTGGCATGAAGATGCTGGCTGAACAGGGAAACACGACGGAGTTGGAAGTCGAAATACAGCGAGAGGTAATTAAAACTCAAACTTTTCAAATAAGTATTGTGTAATCTCTCTCAATTTCTGATGGAATTGAATTTAATGCAAACCAAGAATTCGAGAGTATTCATTATTATTATAAATAAATAATGCAATATAATTACTCTATCTCCAGCTCGGGCGCACCGTCCGCACTGTCATAAAGGCAACAGCACCCGCTAAGACCAACCATAAAACCGTGACGAGCTTCCGTGCCAATAAAGACAATCACTTGGTTTCTTTGGTGACGGGCATCATGCCGTCTCCTGATTGGTTCCTTGGAGTCGCGGATTTGGAATTATGCAGAGAAACGCCCGATAAGAGAAGCGAATGGGCACAGACTGTAACTTAAACCTTTACCCCTGTGATGCTGGGACTGACAGTGGAAAGACATTCGAGGTGAGGTTCTTAAAATGGTAATATTATTTAGAATTTAATTTAATAATATTGTTCTAATAAAATTCAAATTTTAAGGCCCCAAATGATGAGACTTCACCACCGCAACCAATTGCCACCGTGGCCCTTATTAAGGACTTGCCCCCGGGGAAAAGAAAAGCCTTTGCGAGGGTGCGATTTGATCTCGTCCGTACATACCCAAATCCGAGTTGCACGACAGAAAACTCCATAACAGGTGAAGAAGGTAATAAAACCCGAATAACATTGTTCTTAAAGTTTGGGGATACCACATTTTGATTTGATTTTAGGAGAAGAAGAAATTACTGAGGAGGAACCGGACGATGGCGATAATTCTAATGAATCTCCTTCCATAGAGTCTAACACAACAACTACAACGTAAGTTCTTAAGAAGTCGGTAAAAAAATGCTATAATCACGAGTAAAATGTTAGATCTTAAGTAAAGGACATAATTTTTCTATAATTTTATTTTTTACTGAATATGATGAGCTTTATTCACATTTTTGTAGTGTTGGTATTGGTATTGGTTGTTTTGTCTTAATAATAACTTTTCTTTTAGTGAAGTTACAGTCGCTCTAGATCCGGATTCATCACAGAGCTGCCCAATGACTACTTGGGAAGACTGGTCGTGTGACGGGCCCTGTGAGGAGGGAAAGAGGGTGGGCATGCGCTTCAAGTATCGCTACCACATCGTCGATGGCGTTGTTATAAAATATGGTAGCCCGGTGCGTAAATGAGCATAAAAATATTTTACGCCTACATGAAAGTTTTACTTAAAATAAATTTTATTTTATGTTTTTAGAACTCCGAAAAAAGGGTGGTTCCTAAGAACTGTCTGTATATGGAAACATTTCAAATAGAGGATTGTGAAGAGGAATGCACTGAAGAAACAGTCGAAGGTACGGTAGTTTTATTATAAACTAGCTTTTGCCCGCGGCTTCACCCGCGTGAAATTTAGTTTGTCACAGATCTTCATAAATTATAGCCTATATGTTATTCTGGGTTATAAACAATAATACTGTAAAGTTTCATCAAAATCCGTTCAGTAGTTTTTGCGTGAAAGAGCAACAAACATTCAGACATCCAGACATCCAAACTTTCGCATTTATAATATTAGAGGACTACATTTGTGTGAATATTTTACAATGTAGTTCATCAAAACAAAGAAACATTCATAATATTAATTTTGTCTTTGTTTGCATTTCAGAAGAAACAGAAGCAACCGATATTACCGAAGATGAAAATGAATAAACGAAACAGAAGCAACCGATATTACCGAAGATGAAAATGATTAAACGAGTCGGGAATATCCTTTCATTCATGTTTGATGAAATACTTTAATGATTTAACATTTTTTTATTTGTGAAAAAATGTGATTTAAAATAAACAATTAAAACAATAAGGTCTTTCATTTATATTTTTGTCTCAGTAAAGAGATGAGACGAAATCATATCTGGCGCAGTAATGCATAACGCGTGAGTTATGTCGGTAGAGCTCGTAGTACCTTCAGATTATGGTCATGACACTTTTGGCTGCGTGTTGTTCATGATGCCACGTAACGGNGGTTTTTACCCACTACCCATCTCTATTTGCGTTTAGCCACAACGGTGTGGGAGAAAAGGTTAGGAAACGTTTAGGTAAAAAACAAACCGGGGTGGAATACAAAAAAGGATGAGGATCAGGTTGGAAGGTGAGAAGTTGAGTATACAAGAATAAAATATATAAAGGATAGGATATTAATAGTAAAGTTTAGCAAACACAGTATCTTAAAAATGTGTGACCCAATGTTAGTCAGATTGTCTATTGTTTACCGCCAAGTGTCCAATTAAAGCTGGTCCAAAACCATAGTAAACTGTGAAAAAAAAAAGTTGACGTCATCCATCCGATCCACAGATTAGAGAGTGATCCGATCCCATTGCTGCATTTCTGCCAGCAATTTTCATGGAATTATCTTTATTTTCCCTTTAGTATGCTAACTAAACAGCCCAATCCGACTTATAAACGATTTATCGGTACAACTCTAAAGGCTGTTTTTATCGCAGAAGCATTTGGTATTGCAGTTTCTTACGGATTGTGGTACAAGCTGAATACCGAGAGGGGTAAGTTTCAATTTTATTTGTACGTTGAGGAACAAAGAATGTTACTATTTATGTCCTTATTAAAGGAATGTGGCCCTAAATTAACCAATAATCGCGGTGTTTGATCAATAACACTTTCAAAGATGTCATTTTCAGTCGCACCTGACTCGTGTCTGACGTAAGACAGCTTTGGTTTACATATTTATTTCGTGACAATCGGGGTCTTATTCCAGATTTTTTTATTTACATTACAGATTTCCGCTTGTACATGTACAAGAACTACAACTTAGTTCTAGAAGGATATTATCAACTCGGTGAGAGAATTGCCGACCACAAGACGCGAGAACTGGACCTGAAAGTTTGGACTAACGAAGGGAAAATATAAAAAGCGGTGAGATGAGCATTGCTATTAGAGCCACTTTTTGGGTGATGACCATTGGCGGAATAACTTATGCACTGTTCAAGGTGGTCAAACCAAATGATGAGCTACTTAAAGAGGTCAATATTACTTTCTTTACAGTATTAGTGGTCACTGATGTTTATTAACTGGGTTGGATTTTGTGTTGCATGTTTGTGTTGTTTTGTATTGATCTAAAACAATTAAAGATGTTCCGTAACAAAATTATCATCAGTTGCCTTTGTGGAGAAAATCTAAACTTCAGTCACCATAAAAAAGTATAAAATTAGTGTCATTGGTCATTATCATTCGCTTCCCTGTCATATAAAATCATCAAGGTTTGATCGTCTAGTTTTGTTACTTTTAATTGTCTAATTACATTCAAGTGAATTTTTTTACAGTAGATTTATATTTTGTTAACTTTTATTTCAGTTTGATCAAGGATCTAAACACACAGACACCAGGAAATTGTCCCGTGAAACTGTAGCTATATTGAAAGAGGCTGCTAATCCAGAATCTGATATAAACAAAAAGATTGAAGAGTTGTTAAAAAAATGAGTGACAAAAGTAGCGTATTAGAACGACTAAGCAAGAGAGATGCACAAAGACTAGAAAAATTACAGAAGGCACACAAGGCCAGGGAACAGGTAGATGCTAGCGACGAAAATGAGGATTACTTCTCTGGAGCCTTCAAAATGAAGTCTGAATACATTGAAGACATGTTGTCCCAAATACCAACAATGGAAGCCAAGGTCCTTCCTTCCCACTTCGACAACATCAAACGAGAAGCTAATGAATTACAGAAGTATGTCGTCACATCCTCCTTTTTCTTGAAAGAATTCAATATGCGCAAATACTTGGGTATTGTACAAAATCTGCAAACTAAATGTTATGAATTAGAAGATATTTATGTCCCACGCAAAAAGTTTGGTTTCTCTAAGAAGAAGTTGCCCAAATCACATACAGAGAAGCAGAGTTCGTTAGATGAAAATGACGGCGCTGGCAAGACAGATAGCAATAAATGGGATGAGAAACTCTTTGGTTTCGACTCCTTCTCAAATAAGGTGCTTTCTCTTGAAAATGATGAATTATTTCAGCGGGACGTGACGCTGCGTAACTTAAAAAATTGTACAGTAACCCTGAAAGGAGTTATGGGCACCTTGCACATGAGCAATTTAGATAACTGCATAGTGCTTTCTGGACCAGTGACTTCGTCTGTATTCGTAGAAAAATGCACAAACTCGAAAATTGTAGCTGCCTGCCAACAGCTTCGCATGCATAGTTCTGTGAGATGTGACGTTTACCTCCATGTGACGAGTAAAGGAATTGTTGAGGATTGTTCTGAAATTCGGACTGCACCATACAACTTGTATTATGAAGACTTGGAGAAACACTTTAACATGTCATCTCTAGATAAGAAAGTGAATAATTGGGATTGTTTAGATGACTTCAATTGGCTGGCTCCTGATGTTCCTTCTCCCAATTGGTCAGTTTTGGATGTCAAGCATAGAGTAACCAACTGGGATGAGTGGTGGGCAAAAACTCCACCCTTGTGAGAAACACTCAGAGCACAAAAAATGGATTTCACTATGAAATTCTTTGTGCTCATTATAATATTAATGTGGTACACAAACATTATGCAATTTATTTATGAAAAATTTTCTGAGTTCTTTGCAAGCAATGATTAGGATTCAAAGTTATGGAACTGCTTAAATTGTCATCTTTGTAATATAAAAATATTGCCTTTGTTTTTACTAAGAACCAACACTTATTAAGTACTAACAATGAAACTAATAAATATTAAAGTGCTCTTGCAATTTGTATAGTTTTATATATAAAAATTGTATGTTATAAATTTTACCATCTATTTGGCCTGTGAATAAAATTTCAAATTTCAGAAAATTGTAATGTAAGTAGATAGATTTGTTAGCATCTTCTCTACTAAAGATCAATGAAGAAAACAGCTTAGTTAAATGTCAATAAAGCCTACGGTAGCATTTACTAAATTGAATAAATTATGAAATAAATATTTAATAAAACATTCATGTCTTTTAATTAATTTATTTATTGAATATTATGTTTAGAACTACCTATACATACATGTAGGGTTTATAAAATTTCCAAGATGATCACAGTAAGAATTTTATTGCAATAAATACATACATCCACTAGTTCAATTTGTTTTTCTGAAATTTCGTTTTCTTATATTAATTATTATTTGCTTACACTTTGAGGCTTATTATAAGCTTTTACTTAATTTGAATTAATATAATAATGTCAGTTAGTGCTTAAACTATTTCCAGCATTCTATTTTTATTATAGAAGATACCAGTATAAAATGTTTGTAGGTATTTACATTTATTTCACATCATTTACATTTATATTGTTACAGTTAATTTCGATATCAGTCTAATTTGTGACATTCAACTCATTATAATATTATTTGAATATGAAATTTTCGTTTATGAATACGTAAATATCTTGAAAATATAATAATGCTGCTGAAATATTATATGATATGATATAATGATAATAACTTTAAAATGGACCGCTGAAATTAAATTGCGTCAAATACAATATTCTTTATATTGGGCCAGTATACTTAAAAATGCATTTTACATGATTATTACATTTTTAAAGTGACTTTCTAGAAACCTAACTTTATAATTCATCTTTCATTGAAATCGACTGAGTAATTATGAAAAAACATACCTAATTTTGTTGTTAAAAAACTTTCTTTTCTATTAGCTTCAATTATTTACCTATGCTGTTATAATGGAATGATGTATAATCAGGCAAATTATAGGATAGATAAAATAAAGTGACCTTTCTCAGTCAATATCTTTACATAACTTAAAATAATCAATATAATAGAAAAAGGTCTTCATTCTAAATAAATGCAAATAAATTCATAGTCTCTTCTGGTAAGTGAGCATTATTTTTTATTTTACTTATTTAATACATAAATAAAACGGAAAAACATAAAAGAGATACGATAGATAGAAAAGATTAAGAATCAGGTAACTAAAAGAAATATTACTTAAATTAAATTAGTTATTTATTTACATTTATGATATCTTTAATGGCCATACTATTTTAGTAAGGCATACCTATTTTAGTAGAAATAACAGTATTTTTATGAAATGCTCGCGGTGTTATGTCGTTATGTCTATTTAAATATAATTCAAACTTCTTAATATTATAATACAAATAAATAAAATACAGATAAAAGTTATTAAAATGCATAAATAATTTTCAATTCATGATGCTTTGAGCAAAAATGTTTAGAATGTTACAGCCACAGCACACCAGTTTCTGTTGCAAAATCGCATTTATTAACATTCATCATCATTTCAGCCATAGGACGTTCACTGCTGAACATAGGCCTCCCCCAATGCTTTCCATGTTGCCCGGTTGGTAGCGGCCTGCGTCCTGCGCTTACCTGCTACCTTTATGATGTCATCGGTCCACCTTGTGGGTGGACATCCCACGCAGTTTTCCGGTATTACCATTACATGAGGCATATCCACATGGTTTAATTTATGTGCTGTAGACTGTACAATACTCCAGTTCAAGTATAAACTTAAAACTACAATATAGTAAAATATAATAATAATAATTATTGCTTTAAATCACGTAAATTTTGATACAGATATTATGCCGATGTTCGAGCATCAATTAATAATATACTCTAGCATACATAATTATGTAGCACTAATATTTAAGTAAAATGTTTTTGAGATTCTACTCGTATATGCTCAAAAAATGTTTACTTCATAATTAAGTACAAACTTAAATAGCCAATAAATGCTTGGCAGTGAGTTATAATTGGCGATTTTACGTTTGAAAACTTTATAGCTTACTCCCATTTCAATGTTATTTTTCCTTTTAGATAAAACGTGTTTCGAACCAAATGGATGTATGAGTAAAAATTTGAGTATTGATAAAACATCTCTATATCTTGTGGCACAATATCTATTCTACAATATTAGCATTTTTTACACCCCTTTTGGACTGAAGATGTACCTTTTTAATGAAATTTTGTCTATCAATACATTTTAATGTTAATGAACAATGTAATAGTTACCAAATATACATACAATACATAATATTATGAAATGGGAAGCATTGCTAGACAACTACGTCCTTATCAGCAATTAAACTTACTTAATGGTTTTAATATTAAAAATACATCCCAAATAAATTGAACCACGTTTAAATCAAATCGGTCTTGAATTTTTCTTATCATTATCGTACCTATACTTCCAAAATGACGAAGAGGAACTTTTTTAGATGTCCCACGCATCTGAATTATCTAAAAAGAAACAGGTATTTTTGTAGAAACCCCTGTTAATTTCCCAAAATTTTGAATTCATTTCAACTCGATAAAGGCAGTACCATCTCGAGTCAGAGACATAAGACGTAGTACCTACCTACCTAAAAGAGCATCACATCTTATTTTACATTTTACTCAGTAAATGAACAACTAAAGGCCCGATTCCACAACAATAGTTAATATTCAGGGTGTAAAACCAAACAGGGAGCGTAGTGAGAGTTTACAGCTAAGCGTCCACTTGTCGGTATCGTACGCAACGGACGCATTGTACAAAACATATCGTAACGGATGTGCGATGCGTACGATGCGGACAGGTGGACGCACTTATATGAGTTTCTATATAAATAATACTACGATCCGTTGCGTGCGATACGTCCGATGCGTACGATACCGACATGTGGACGCTAGCCTTGCATCAAACGTCGTCATTAGTGAGCGTGTAAAAAAATTACATTAAATGTATGACGGATTGTACAGCGCCCCAAGCGGAAACTTTCAAGAACTAAAATTCTCATATATTTTTTTAACGCGCTCACTAGTAAGGACGTTTGATGTAAACTCACACTAAGGCCCAGAACAGACGGTGAAACGCAACTGCAACGAAACTGCAACTTTCTGATGATTCTGATGAATGAAACTGGAACAGAGTTTCAAACTGGTCGCGTCATGTGTGGTCTCTCAACGGACGCTATGGCAGAAACTTAGATGCAACTCAAAAGTAACTAGCAGTTGCAGTATCGTTGCAGTTGCGTTTCACCGTCTGTTCTGGGCCTAAGCCCTCAGATTGTATCTTAATTCAACAATATAGATAGACTACTAGCAGTGTATGGATCAATACATATCTATCCAACTCGATTTGCGTAAACAATAAGATTACTAAAAATGCTTCCTTGTTTTTTCCAGATGCACTAATTTTGAATAGTTCGGAATCGGGCCACGGTGCTTATTTAAAAGGTGGTGGAAGAAGGATCTTATCTAAAGATAAGTAGAAAACGAGCATCATTTCTGGAAATATTGCCCAGTAATATCCCGTCTATTTGGTACCAATTTACATTGTTTGTGGCAAGATATTGCTTTAAAAATGTTGCTCGTTTCATCATCGCTCGTCGATCCGTATTTCCCGTTCTATCTGTCGCTTATGGGATATGTTTTCGATATAATATAATTTATTGTCTGAAAACACGGACAGACATCGTCTTATGCAATACAATCTCTCTTGTAGAAATCGAGAGTGACCATAGACAAGGATTCACTGATGATTTAACAACACCTCTTGTTTCGACTTGTGTGGAAATAATGATTCGCCCCATTCATTAGTATTAACAGTGGCGTAGCCAGTGTGTTTTATCACTGGTAGCTACAGAGCCCTCAGGGCCGAAATGTGAAGTTATTTTTTTAACATGAAAGGGCCTCCTTAAATTGGGCCCCAACTGATTTTTTCATTAACTTTCGTCAAGCCGTGAGTACACATTATGTAGCTCATAAAAATGTTACGTTAAGACCCGTTTCTCTATTTTACTTAAAATCTTTGTCTATGGTCAGTCATCCATTACCATCATCCTTGTCTATGGTCTCTGGTCAAGTACCGGCTCACCAGTTGGGCTTCTTGTGCGAGATGGTCCACTGCTGGTATGTGTTTCTGGAGTCACACGGCGCGAGGCCGAGTGTCCTCGCGTGGGGCTGCAGCGTGAGGCAATAGCCGTGCAGTCGGTGGATCAGCTGGCTGTTTTCTTCTTCGTACCTGGAAGGGAAATGGTCAATGTAATTCAGGGTTTGGGCAAATGTAATAAGTCAGAACTAGACAAGGGGGCGTCCATTAATTACGTGAGACAATTTTGGCTATTTTTCAATCCCCCCTCCCCCCTGGTGAGATTCCGTGAGGTTTTGCTTGTGGCAGAATAAGCACGCGGGGCGATCACCAAACTTTAAAATAGGTAGTTGAAACAGACTACAGCTAATTTTCATAGTGGACTGTACCATACGATAAACATGTCAGTCAATTTGACAACCTTTGTCGGAAACATTATTCAATGAAAATATTGTCCGAACCCTTAGTATTTCTCTTCGACAAATACATTAACACATCGTGAACCACTTTTCTTTCACGACTATAAAAATATTTTAGCAATTTAATTCACAAAATCAATTGCACACATTTAAAATAAAGTTTGTTTACACTTTGACAACAATAGACTGACATGCAAGGTGGCATGTCAATGAAGTTTTCAGTTACTGTTGCCATTAAAAGAAATTAGTACCATTAGTTTTCCGCAACATGGCGAGGGTTTTTATGTTCCTGGTCAGGCTATATCTTAATTCAACAATAATAGATAGACTACTAGCAGTGTATGGATCAATAAATATCTATCTAAACTCGATTTACGTTATTAATAAGAATTCTTGCTTTAGTTTTTTCTAGTTGCACTAATTTTGAATAGTTCGGAATCGGGCCACGGTGCTTATTTAAAAGGTGGTGGAAGAAGGATCTTATCTAAAGATAAGTAGAAAACGAGCACCATTTTTGGCAATATTGCCCAGGAATCTCGTCTATTTGGTACCAATTTACATTGTTTTTGGCAAGATATTGCTTTAAAAATGTTGCTCGTTTCATCATCGCTCGTCGTTCCGTATTTCCCGTTCTATCTGTCGCTTATGGGATATGTTTTCGATATAATATAATTTATTGTCTGAAAACACGGACAGACATCGTCTTATGCAGTAATCTCTCTTGTAGAAATCGAGAGTGACCATAGACAAGGATTCACAATTGATATAACCACACCTCTTGTTTCGACTTGTGTGGAAATAATGAGGGCATGAATCACAATACTGCCGATATACTTCATAAAGAACTATAGTCGTCTAAAATGGCTCCAAAGGCTTAACAAGTTCTTCATACTTATTCGCCCCATTAGTATTATCAGGGGCGTAGCCAGTGTGTTTTATCAATAGTACAGACTACGGAGCCCTGGGCTACCGAGCCCTTAGAGCCGAAATGTGAAAATTTATTATTTTTTTGAACATGAAAGGGCCTCCTTAAATTGGGCCCCAACCAATTTTTTATTAACTTCGTCAAGCCGTGAGTACACATTATGAAGCTCATAAAAATGTTGCGTTAAGACCCGTATTTCTCTATTTTAGTTAAAATCTTTGTCTATGGTCAGTCATCCCTCAGCATCATCCTTGTCTATGGTCTCTGGTCAACTACCGGCTCACCAGTTGGGCTTCTTGTGCGAGATGGTCCACTGCTGGTACGTGTTTCGTGAGTCGCACGGTGCGAGGCCGAGTGTCCTCGCGTGGGGCTGCAGCGTGAGGCAATAGCCGTGCAGTCGGTGGATCAGCTGGCTGTTTTCTTCTTCGTACCTGGAAGGGAAATGGTCATTAAATGGTTTGGTCAAATGTAATAAATCAATACTAAAGCCCGGTCGCCGAGCACGTAGAATTTCGTCCAATGACCCCAAGCTATCCATCCTTATCGCTCGCGCATAGTTATATTGCTGTCGCGCTCGCACACTCACTGCGGTCGCACAGTCACGACAGCAATATAAGGATGGGTAGCTTGGGGTCATTGGACGAAATTCTACGTGTTCGGCGACCGGACTATAGACAACTTTTGCAATTTTTTGTGGCAGAATAAGGACTATTTACGACATCGATTGTACGAGTAGCTGGCTGTTGTATCCTGGCATGATGACGTAGCGTGAGCGGCTAGCTGTTGCTGGCAACAGCTACCAACAGCAAGCTACTTCTCCGTTTCATGATGACGTAGGATGACGTAGTGTAAGTAGCTTAATGCCGGAGCTGTGGCATGATGACGTACCTTAAGAGGCTGGCAGTTGCCGGAGCCGTGCATTGATGAAGTGCTGTGAGTGACTTAGTGCCGGAGCCGTGACATGATGACGTACTGTGAGTGACTTGGTGCCGGAGCTGTGGCATGATGACGTACTGTGAGCACCTTTCTATGAAGACGTACTGTGAGTGACTGGCTGTTGCCGGAGTCGTGGCAGAATGACGTACTGTGAGTGGCTGGCTGATGACGGAACCATGCTGTGAATGACTTGGTGCCGGAGCTGTGGCATGATGACGTACTGTGAGCGCCTTGCTATGAAGACGTACTGTGAGTGACTGGCGGTTGGCGGAGTCGTGGCAGAATGACGTACTGTGAGTGGCTGGCTGATGACGGAGCCGTGCTGTGAGTGACTTGGTGCCAGAGCTGTGGCATGATGAGTGATGACGTACTGTGAGCGCCTGCTATGAAGACGTACTGTGAGTGACTGGCTGTTGCTGGAGCCGTGGCAGAATGACGTACTGTGAGTGGCTGGCTGATCACGGAGCCGTGCTGTAAGTGACTTGGTGCCAGAGCTGTGGCAAAATGACGTACTGTAAGCGCCTTGCTATGAAGACGTACTGTGAGTGACTGGCTGTTGCTGGAACTGTGTCACGATGACGTAGTACGAGTGCCAGAGCTGTGCCATGATGACGCGCTGCAAATATTACACTAGCTACTACACACTACAGCCTACCTCCAGGGCCCGTCGACGGTGCCGAGGCGGCAGATGGCCTGCTTGACGCTGTCGGTGTCGGCTTCCACGCAGCGCTNTGCCAACAGCTACCAAAGGCTCGTAGCTAGGAATTTAACAGAAAGTTGCTAGATTGAGTATTTTTTTCTCCCTAAAAAGTAGCTAGAAGTAGCTGAATTCCGAAGTAAATAAAATACTAAAGAAATAAAACACTGAAGTTAATAAATCAGCTATAAACTTTAAAATCAACTTAACTTTAATACTGTGACTACTTAATTAACAAAAAAAGAAGACAATATTTTGATTATCTACCGATTTAAGTGAGTCGAATCGTAATTGCTAATACTAATTTTCTTTGTCGGGTATGCCGCTACCATAACTTTGTAAAAATATATCATAATCAATAGAAAAAGTAGCTAAAAAGTTTAGCTACAAGTTAAAAAAAATTGTAGCTGCGTGACATCAAAAAGTTGCTAAATCTAGCTATAAAGTAGCTAAGTTGGCAACACTGCCCCCCAGTATTTTGAGGTTACCTACCGATTCGTAGATTGAAAGACAATCCCCCCCCCGTATCAATCTGCGCGACTTGTGTCACCCCCTGATGCTTGGCACCCGGGGCGGACCGCCCCCCCTTACGCTGCTACTGCCCGTAACATGACGTATTGTGACTAATGTGAGTGTCTTGTTGCCGGAGCTGTGGCATGATAACCTACTATAAGTGATTTGTTGGCGTTGCTAGAGCCGTGGCATGATAACGTACGGTGAGTGGTTGGTGCCGTAGCTGTATAATGACGCGATGACGTAGTGTGAGCGGTGAGCTATTGACGGAGCCGTGGCACGATAACTTAATGTGAGTGACTTGGTGACGGAGCCGTGGCATGATAACGTACTGTGACTTAGTGACGGAGCCGTGGCATGATGACGTACTGTGACTTAGTGACGGAGCCGTGACATGATGACGTATTGTGAGTGGCTTATTGCCAGTGCAATGGCATAATGACGTACTGTGTCTAGCTTGTTGCCGGAGCTATGGCATGATGACGCGCTGCGAATATCACATTAGCTACTGTAGCCTACCTCCAGGGCCCGTCGACGGTGCCGAGGCGGCAGATGGCCTACTTGACGCTGTCGGTGTCGGCTTCCACGCAGCGTTCGCCGACTCCTAGCTGACCAGCTTCGTTGAGCCGGAACAACTGGCTGTAGCTAGAGCTGATGACGGAGCCGTGCTGTGAGTGACTTGGTGCCAGAGCTTTGGCATGATGAGTGATGACGTACTGTGAGTGCCTGCTATGAAGACGTACTGTGAGTGACTGGCGGTTGCCGGAGTCGTGGCAGAATGACGTACTGTGAGTGGCTGGCTGATGACGGAACTGTGCTGTGAATGACTTGGTGCCGGAGCTGTGGCATGATGACGTACTGTGAGTGACTGGCGGTTGCCGGAGCCGTGTCACGATGATGTAGTGCCAGTGCCAGAGCTGTGGCATGATGACACGCTGCGAATATCACACTAGCTTCTACACACTACAGCCTACCTCCAGGGCCCGTCGACTGTGCCGAGGCGGCAGATGGCCTGCTTGACGCTGTCGGTGTCGGCTTCCACGCAGCGCTCGCCGACGCCTAACTGACCAGCTTCGTTGAGCTGCAACAGCTGGCTGTAGCTAGAGCTGATGACGGAGCCGTGCTGTGATGGTGTGCTGTGAGTGACTTGGTGCCAGAGCTTTGGCATGATGAGTGATGACGTACTGTGAGTGCCTGCTATGAAGACGTACTGTGAGTGACTGGCTGTTGCCGGAGTCGTGGCAGAATGACGTACTGTGAGTGGCTGGCTGATGACGGAACCGTGCTGTGAATGACTTGGTGCCGGAGCTGTGGCATGATGACGTACTGTGAGCACCTTTCTATGAAGACGTACTGTGAGTGACTGGCGGTTGCCGGAGCCGTGTCACGATGACGTAGTGCCAGTGCCAGAGCTGTGCCATGATGACGCGCTGCGAATATCACACTAGCTTCTACACACTACAGCCTACCTCCAGGGCCCGTCGACGGTGCCGAGGCGGCAGATGGCCTGCTTGACGCTGTCGGTGTCGGCTTCCACGCAGCGTTCGCCGACGCCTAACTGACCAGCTTCATTGAGCCGGAACAACTGGCTGTTACCAGAGCCGTGGCACGATGACGTACCTGTAAACGTCACAGAGTTGTGATGTAACTTTTTACTTTAACTACGTCAAAAGACAAAGACGTACACTGCTGGACAAAGGCCTCTCCTGAGGATTTCTTTCCATAATGATCACTCATGCGCTGCCTTTCAGCAGTTCTACGGGCTATGTCGGTTACTTTGGTTTTTCTATTTTAGCTTAGAAATAGTGAAGTAATTGAGAGTACATTTATAATTTAGTTGAAATGGATTTGCAATATTTCAAACTCAATTTTTTTTTTAGCGTAACTTTGAAAAGACAGACAAAACGTAATAGTAACTCATTAAAAAGTTATTAATCCATTAGGTACGGTCTTTATCAATGAGTTATGTGAAGTTAACTTGATAAATTAATACTGATTAAGCGATTATAGCCAAGAAAACTAATAATGTGTTTTACACTTCATCAACATGATACAATGTTTAAATCCACTTCCTAAAACAAAATATTATATTACTCAGCTGGTAATGTTGTCTCAAGTGGTAATAAATGATAACTATTATTATTATCCTAATATTTCACGAAATTGACTTACTTACTATAGGATTAGCGCTTAACTTAGTGCCTGAGGAATTGGACCGGAACGGGAGGGTGATTTTGCGACAGTTAAACGTCAGTGAGACTTCAGATTTGTAAACACTGTCACGCCATAATATTATGTCAATATTACCCCTCCCGTGACGCTTCCATTCCTCAGGCAATGACTGAGTTAAAAGCTTGACCTATAGCGAGAGTAGGTACATTAGAGAGTACATTTACTTTACTTACCAATATAAGCAGGCGCAGCCTTGCCCATGGTGTCCAAGCAAACCCCAGTGGCTTTATTCTTCACCATCCCCCAGTGAATGTTCTTCGGAAGCTTCGGGAACTTATCGTATACATCGTAAGCCACATTCTCCATGAACCACCCGAAACTCTTGCACTTCAACTTCTCTTTCAAAGCGACTTGCTCGCTTATGTCGCCCATGTCCAAAAATCTCGCCATTGGCTCTCTGGTATAAAAGTATTCCTTGTGCTCCTCATCAAACCACGTCTCAATAACTCTCTTGTAGTTAATAGTGATTAAGGACCCCTTGCGATTCTTTGCCAGGTTGCCAAAGGAGTACGGCATAAACGCTCTATAAACGTGGCCGACTCTTGAGCATGGAACCCATTCGATACTGCCCCCGCATTGCCAGATTTTGAAACTTAATTCGAAATTCTCGCCACCCCATACCAGTAAACCGGGGTCGTATGCTCCAATTTCGAGGAAATACCGTCTGTTGATTGCGAATAGACCCCCAGCGTGTGTCGGACTTTTGTAAGGTTCCGATTTGTGTTTGTGACGACTGTCTTCCCTTTCAGGCACTTCGTTCTCTTTGTACAGCATACCCCATTCGAAGATACCCCTGTAATTTGTGCCGTGCTGGTACACCGGTCTGTATTCGAAGGTTTTGTGGTCTACACCGTCTATGACGGGCACTGTCATGATTCTGTAATCGCGGTAGATGGGAGCTAGAAGAGGAGGGAGCCAGTTGAGGTTGACTTCGCAGTGAGCATCAAGGAAGACTATGACTTCGCCCGTAGCCTCTTGGGCGCCCCTAGATCGCGTACGGATCAATCCTTCTCTTTGAGTATTGCGGATAAGCCGCACTTTGCCGTTAAATCGTTTTATGTAGTTGTCGAGGTTACTTTTCAGGTTTTCTTTATCGGAGAAATCGTCGACCTGAATAAATAGAAAGGGGTAAATCGAGGCAGTTGCGATAAGCGATTGTTAGGCATCTAAAACTGGCCTGAGATGAGAATTATTTCAATCCGTCTACTATCTAAATTAACTACAGAGAAACGCTTATAATAATGGAATCGCCAACCTTCGGGAACAATTAAAACTAATGGGCATAAATCCTATTAATAACTTTTCAATAAATTACCACAAACTGTTGTAGAATTGCCCATTCATAAATTTAAAGCACATATCAAAAACACCTTAATGAAAAAGGGCTACTAATAAGTTGATAATTATATAAAAGATAATAATGTTTGGAATGTTTAACTACCTAGCTCGCATCAATACTTATGACTATAATTTGTATATTTCAAAGACTGTAAAACCTTGAAAAGGAGGCTGACAATAGTGACTGAGTTTCTTGCGCTGCTTCTTCTCAGCACTGGCCCATTTATTGTCCCGAAGCAGTGGTAGGGTTAATATTGGGACGTGTAAAAGCGCTTTTTTAAAGCCTATTTGCAAAAATAAATGAATTTTATGAATTTTATTTTAATAACTATTAATTAACACCCTAATAATCTCACTTAAAATTAATTAAAGAAAGTGCGTGAGTTCGTGTTTTTCGCCAATCACTCGTCAACGGTTGAATGCAGTTGGATTAGAAATGAAAACATTGGTTAGTAATTAGTATGCACGATACAAGCACTGTAATCTGGTGTACTACATATGATTGTAATGTATGCTGTTTGAAAAAAAAAACAAGCGACAATAGAGTTAGTTTTTGTTGGGATATTGCTTGATTCTCATAGGAGTTTGCCAATGCTGTTGACATAATAATCGGGTCACGAATTGGATGTTGACTGTAACTACAGACGAAATATTCAATTACAGAATATTATTGTGAATTTCGGCTGAATTGCGATGTGGTGACGTTGTAACATTGAGTGAGCGTGAGGGCTTTTCAGGCCTGTTGCATCGATTGCTAGGCATCTTAGTTGGCATTTTCAATTAGCCTTATTTCAGGATTATAGAGTTTAAAAAATACCAACGTAAAGTTGAATTCGCGAGTCGATATAAGATTCAGAGCTACCTCCTAATGCTGTTAAGAAATTTCAGATCTAGGCACGTTACGCTGTAACACTGTAGGTACCTAACATAAACAACTAGATACATCTGAAAATAATACGTATAACGAATTATCATTATAGAATGTAAATCCTAAAGGTCATGGTCAATCTGACCTGACCATGACCTTTTGATTGGTTTGCATTTGGTTGTTGATTCAGTTTGAACAGAAATTAGTGTGCGACTTGCATTTAAGAGTATTATTGTACTATTTTGAGCAGCTGTGGTGACTCACAAACTCGTAAATCGGGCGCCTTTTTGGCACGAAAATATCTGTGTATAATTTTAAATCTCTTTGTTCCTTTTTAATTTTATTTTGTGTCAAATAAAGTTTTTCTTATCTTATCTTAAAACACTAAGGCCCAGAACAGACAATGAAACGCAACTGCAACGAAACTGCAACTGCTAGTTACTTTTGAGTTGCATCTAAGTTTCTGCCATAGTAATCGATCAGTTTGAAAGTTTCAAACTGGTCGCGTCATATGTGGTCTGTCAAAGGACGCTATGGCAGAAACTTAGTTTCGTTGCAGTGCGTTTCACCGTCTGTTCTGGGCCTAAGGAAAACTTACCAAAACAATTTCGTGCAGTACATTCGGCGGGGATCGCTCTATGACCGTGTGGACTGTCCTCATCAGCACTGAGAAGCCTTCGTTGTGGAAGACGATGATCACAGAAGTACTCGGCAAGTCCTCAGGATAGTGCCAATATCTGCATTCGTCCAGCCTAGTGTCTGGGATAGACCTGAAAGAATGCCAATCAAATAAAACAAGGGCCTCTTTTTACTACACCAGAAAGAAGGTTATGTTTTTGTGTGATGTTTCATAAATTGAACAACAGAGATCTTTATCTGCTACAAATTAAGGGCAGAGTTCTGTCAACCATAAAAAGTTAGATTTTATAAAAGAGAATGTGTTTCAGTCACATGCAGGAGTTACATAGACTATAATAATATTATGTATGTATATGTATTGGCTTAAATTATTCTGACATGTTAGTAATTTGTTAAAGGTATACAATTTGGTTAATTTAAGATTTGTTAATAGGTAAAATAGTTTAAAACTTCTACTGCATAAGCAGTTACAAATAATACTAAATAGAAAGTCAGACAAAGACAAATTAATATTGGAAAGAAAGTGTAAAAAGTAAAAGGAAACCATAAAGGACAAAAATATATTTAAGAATCTAGCTATGATAAGTATCTTAAAACTTACTAAGTAATTAGAAAAACCATTTATCAAGATACAAAAGTTAATCCTTTTTCAATTTTAGATAACTGTAACATATTACTGATGGAGTTTGCAGAAATGGAAAAATCTAAATTGTTTAAACTCATATTAATTACATAACAATTCTGCCTCATTGTGTCTAATTGGATTAATTAGTTAACCACAGGGGTCAGGTTCAATTATGTAATGATTGACCAGATAAGGCACAGCTAGTAGGCACAAGATAATGTGATGGAAACTAACATAGCATTATGTTAATAACACATGTTAGTAATAAATAATACTTTTTTTAGATGTTCCTTCATTGTTTATCAAATTAAACTTTATTTACTAAATATTTAACAAGGTATTTTTTTTACTATTAGTAATACATAGTTTTTACTTGCATAAATGAATCATTTGCTGTTTTATAAACCTATAGGGGAATAATAGATCTAAGTATGACATTAAAACATTGAGTAAAGAAGATTGATAATGTTGTTATACCTGTTCATTGCTATGTCATCAGAAGCAGCAATATTCATGCCATATTCACTCTCGGACTCTGCGATGTCGTTGGCTCGGTCCTGAGACATGTGGTACGGCTTCCCCTCTTCTCCTGGACCTTTCACCGTCCTTAAGTCCTTCGGTTCAAAGTTTCCCAGTTCTGGGGAATGCACAAATGTTATAGGACATTGAATAAAGGATAAGAGCAAAGTTATAACTGATTTCATGTATAAAATATGTTATGCAAATGTTTTTATGTACTATATGGGTGGGATTGTGTACACAGTCCTTTGCAAATATGTAAATACTTCGTGCTAAGGAAAAAAACATAAATAATAAGAAGGTAACAAACAAATCATAACTGCACACGAAATAAGAACAATCAAAGTATTGTTTATTTAATCACAAATTTACGATCTGAAATCGAATACATGTTATAAAATGACGTAGGAAAACAATGTAACGCGGACGTAGACACGCCGGCACGCTGACTAGGGCAAATAACTGTTTATACAAGTTCATAAATGCCATAAGCCACCACAATTGCCCAATCGGTCTTACAACCACTTACCTGATTTTAATGTAGGATACACATCACGATGGAACTTATAATAACCAACTTGAGCTTCTGAGTCGATCATTTCGTCAGCAACATACGAGTTATTCTCGCTAGACCATTTGTGCAGAGCGTAAACTAAAAGTAACAAAACAGCGCATCCCGCTCCCATTCGCACAATCCTACCACGTCTTACGTTTGTAATCCTCATTTTCATTTGAGTTTTATATGCGCATAACAAACTTTACAAGTATTTTCGAATTAATTGGGATTTTTAAAACTTGAGAAAATCCTCCACTCGCTACTAACTCGCCTGGATGACGTTTACACGAATTGACAACAGTTTGACACTGACAAGTTACAACCAACAAACAACTGCTAAACGTTTTGTTTCAGTTTTTTTGAGGAATTATTAAAAATTATTAGAGCATTTTTACGTGATCCTCGTGTGGTTTGTTTGAGGAAGGCCTAAGGGAAAGAAGACTATGAGCTGTGCAATTGATCAATTCACTTTCTTGTAGCACTAAAGTTTGCTTATAAAGGAAAATCACAGCTAGTATCAATCAGAACATCCTCATCACTAGTTGACATGTTCTGCTCCTGCTCTATGGTTGTTTGTTTACGTTCAAAATCCCTTCAAAAATTGAATCCGTTGAAACTCGAAAAAGTTGAAATTGGTTAAATATAATTAATTCTCAGTATATTTCTTTCAGCAATTTTTGAGAACTTGAGATTGCTCATTATTTTTCTGTGAGTTATTCGTTGTGTCCAAATTATTAACAATAAACATGGAGAGAGGTGAGTGGACGAACACAGAATCAAATGTTTTGTTTTCATCGGAAACTTTCACAATTAATTGAGTTGTTACTTACAGTGCAAGCTTATATGGAGATTTTTATCAGCAATTGGAATGGAGAGTTTCCAAACTATCCTCTGACTGCCGCCGATCTAAAAAAGCCTCATGCCGTGATGGGCGCTTTGTTTCAAGTGTTTGACCGGTTAGGCATCGACAGGGATGCTGTTTTATCGGTATGAGCGATTCTTTCAGTCTCTCTAATGATTAAAACCTCTGTATACTCAAATTCCAACCCTTAAAACTAAATATCGCTGTTTTAGCCCCCACCGGAAGAAGACCGCAACGATCACACAATATACTACTGGGACCTAGTACCAGTCATCAACATGACTCGCGTCATTAACCATCTCGTGTCCGTCATGCCACAAGTGGATGCAACTATCAGTGTGACCCATTTCCTGCAGCCAACGTCCACAACGTCCCACTCTATCTTACTTTTGCTGTTTAATTTGATGGTCTTCAATGAAGAGCGTTTGAGGACTATTGCACCTCATGAAGAGGAGCTCTTTGCTAAGACTGATCAGGTAATATCCTTATTTTAAGTACTTCTTTAGATACCACTCAATATTCCATAATAAATAAGAATCCAGATGATACATGTGTGTGCATGTTCTACTAATATTTTGTGTCCTTTTCAGGTGAAAACATTAGAAGATAGGAAGAACAGGTTACTTGAAATGTTGAATGAGCAAGCAGAAGAAAAAGGCAAGCGTCAAGAGAGACTGGAAAAGGTAATTATTTATTGCAATCTAGTATTATCAAACTTATTTATTTAATGACGTTAACATTTTGCAAATGGATGCATCAGTTGAACTAACATTTCAGTTTATTAAACCGTTACCTGTCATAATTCTTGCAATTTATTTATTTGTACATAATAATCTGGCTTGTACTTTTACAGTTAAATGAAGACATAAAGCAGTTTGAAGATGAGCTAAAGCAAGAAAAGGAGGCTCATGATGAAGAAAAACAAGAATTAGAGGCAATATTGAAAGAGAATCACCAGATTGAGGTAGTTTTAGAGCAGAAAAAAGGTCTCCGAGATGCAATCCTGGCTGAGGTGGCTCGGAAGAGAGCTTTGAGGGTGTATGACGCTGATGATATCAAGGCTCAGGCAGAGCAAGCGGCTCAGAATGTTCAAGAGGCAGAAGAGAAGCTGAATACTCTCCGTGCTACATTAATGCAGAAGGAAAACAGCTTGAAAAATCTGCAGACCATCAAGCCTAGTTTAGATACGGCTAACAATCTTCTGCATGAGATTATGAAGTTATCAGACAGTCTGAAGTAAGTTATTTATTAATATTTATATGCCTTTTAACTTAACTCACTGTATACCAGAGGCTTTATTTTATTTATGTATTTACTGATTTAAATCTATTAATAGATTATACAACTGTGTCAATTTGTACAGTATAAATAGCTGTGTAATTATAGAATAAATTAAAAGTGTAACATTGCACCTGTAATAAATACTGCAACATTGAATAATATTTGCGTAACTAAATGATATTACTTCACATGTAAATAAATTGAACATATTTATTTATTTTCTCAGGGATTACGAATCAGGTGATCTGGACTCGGACAGCAAGGAGGGTGAATTAGATGTGCTGAACACGGAGTTATCGGAGTTGCAAGTTCAGCTCGGGGAACTGAAGGCAGCCCGGGAGGAGACCTGCCTCAAACGGCAGGAGAGCCAGGCCAAGAGGCAGCAGGATAAAACTCTAGCGCAGAGGTGAGTATTCGTGGAGATAGTACATCAGACTTCCATTAAGACGCCTTGCAGTCACTGGCGTACCTTGCAGTCACTGGCGTACCTTGCAGTCACTGGCGTACCTTTCAGTCACTGGCGTACCTTGCAGTCACTGGCGTACCTTGCAGTCACTGGCGTATCTTGCAGTCAATGGCGTACCTTGCAGTCACTGGCGTACCTTGCAGTCACTAGGCCCAGTTTCCACCAAGAGTGAAGCAGAAAAGTGTTACGAATAACCATTCAGTCAGATTTCACTATTTCCACTCCACTCCGCTTCGGTGGAAATGGATCGCGCGGAGAAGAGAGCAGTGTCGGACGGACTAATTTTTCTATATAATTTAAAAGAGAGAAAGAAAGAAAAACATTTATTTAAATGCAAGCGCATTTATGAAAGCCGCTGTGCCGTGCCGCACCGTATTCATCGAGACAGCAGTTAGACTGACAGCTGACAGTAGCTGTCACAACTCGTCTCCTCTCCGCTCCGCTTTGGTAGAAATAGCCTGCCAGCTTCGCCGAACATCTCTCGTCTCCGCTCCGCCTTGGTGGTGTCTAAAGTGGTCTTAACATTATTGTTGCAAAATAGCTCCTATTAGAACGGAATAAGGTTCCAGTGTTTATAACGGCGGGAGCGCCGATACCGGGATGGTTTATCGCCTAGAGAAAATACTATTGTTATGATGAATACCTACAAGTTTTTATACCCGGCGACATAGATATGTTATACTATACTAATGTCTGGTGTCCCTTCTTTGCTCACCCCTTTTGAGAGATATCGAACTCAAGTCGATGTCTCTCCGAAGGCGCGAAGCCACAACAAGGGCTCTCGAGGAAGACCAGTTTCTTGACATGCCCTTACGAGCATGTCAGGATAAATGCTGAGCGGGAGCCTATTGACACAGTGGCCCACTATTTTCTTTATTCATTCCGTGTTGTTATTATCTATCTATATATATAAAAGAAAGTCGTGTTAGTTACTCCACTTATAACTCAAGAACGGCTGAACCGATTTAGCTGAAAATTGTCAGGGAGGTAGTTTAGAGCCAGGAGAAGGACATAGGATACTTTTTATCCCGTTCGAAATTAAAAAAAAAATCTGCTTATTTATTGTCATTAAGGCGGAACAAAGTTCGCCGGGTCAGCTAGTTGTTTATAATTTGTGCTTACTGTATTCAATAAAGTCTATTTCTTTCTTTCTTTTTTATACAATCCATACTTATCTACTTACTGTGTTTATTCAATCTGACTTATTTGACTAATATTAGCATATTCGACTAAGCATATTAAGTAGGTTCCATACTTATCTTCTTAGTATGTTTATCCAATCTGACTTATTTGACTAATATTAGCATATTCGACTAAGCATATTAAGCAGGTTTTAAAAAACGTATATTATGTTTCAGCGCGTTACGAGATGCAGAAGAAAAGGACAAAAAATGCCGCGAACGTTCAAAGAAAGCACAACAGCGCACACAAGAGCTCAAGGAGGAAACTGCTAAATACGAGGCCAGCAAGTCGGAAGGGATGGAGACACTAGCTAAGATGAGAAACGATTTCATTAGCGAGGTATTTACTATTATTTTACGAGTTTTTGTCTTTATACTTTACTAGCGGCCGCCCGCGACTTCGTACGCGTGGATCCCGTTTTACCCCCTTTGGGGTTGAATTTTGTAAAATCCCGTCTTGGTGAGCACCTACGTTCTAAAAGGAACCTTCATGAAAAATTTGAGACTCGTACTTGCAGTTTCTGAGATTTCGTGATGAGTGAGTCAGTCAGTGACCTTTCGTTTTTATATAGATAGAAAAGTGCCTGGGCAAAGTCCAAATTATGTATTTTTTTTACAGATCAAATCATTGGAAGAGGCATTATTGAAGAAGGTGACAGAAGCAGAGAAGAGAATAGAAGATAAACTGCGTAATAGGAACTTGTGATAAGTGTAGGTTCTAAGTTAATATTATTTTCTTGAATTTATGAATATGAAGAGAAATAGTGTTGAAAACTGTTCAAACTCAAAATTAATGAATAAAATTGTTATTGTATTTTAGTACTGGATTTTTTATTGCATCTCAGGAACCTTAAAGTGTGCTCAATCGAAAAATAGGACAAACAAAAACGACAGCATTAATTTAACAGTATTCTTTTAATTATTTCTTGACATAGGAATATCCTCGGTTTATACAGCTGTTGATACTTATGGACTAATAGCTGTGCTAACAGTAAAGTAAAATTAATCAATTGATTTCATAATTATATTGCAAAAATAAAAATTCGTACTTTATACTGTTATGTTACTTCTCGCATCATATCACTTAAAAATATTTTGTTTTTAATTTTTATAATACCTACCTACCTGTGTACCTACTTAGTTTTACTGTGTACCAGTTTCAAACTGGTCGCGTCACGTGTGGTCTCTCAACGGACGCTATGGCAGAAACTTAGATGCAACTCAAAAGTAACTAGCAGTTGCAGTTTCGTTGCAGTTGCGTTTCACCGTCTGTTCTGGGCCTTAGTTTTACTGTGTACCAGTTTCAAACTGGTCGCGTCATTTGTGGTCTCTCAACGGACGCTATGGCAGAAACTTAGATGCAACTCAAAAGTAACCAGTTTCGTTGCAGTTGCGTTTCACCGTCTGTTCTGGGCCTTACTTTTTTGGTCGTTGAGCAGTATCGTCTCCGCTTTGGGTATTAACCAATTTTAGTTCTAACATATAATAGTAGTCTTTGGTTCTAACTAATTAGTTGGTACAGCACAGTACATTTTTGTTGCACCTTATTACTACTACACATAAGACACATTATGCCACATGTTTTGAATGCTTAGCAGTTGCTGATGTCAGGCAGGGATCCTTGGCAGTGGTTCTTCCAGCCATACCAAGCCCTGAATCCATGGCGTTTGTAAATCTTTTTAGCGCAGGTCGCAGCCTTCGTGATGTCGTCGGTTGTAAGCTCTGTAAGAATATCACATGAGTTTATTCAGTGAAATGCTTAAATTTCTAGGAGGGTGTCCTTTGATGGCGTTTGTATTTCATCATCAACATCATAAATCATCTTTAGGTCATTTGTAGACTCCGCTGACCGACCGACCTTTTCTTATTTACCTACTTAGAGGCAAATGGAAGGTTTTTCCTATCTCCCCACGTTGATGGACGTTTTGGGGAAGCATGTAGATGAAAACCACCTGCTGGAAAGAAATAAAGATATGGCCGAAGGTGGTAGCGAGTTTCGCGCGGAACAGTTGACCATAGAGGAACTGCCTATCTTACCTCTTACTGCCAAACACAACAATGCTGTTTAATTTTGCTGTTATGGCAAGAAGCTTTGGTAAGATGGTGGTAGCTACTCGGGCGGGCTTAGAACACGCCATACCACCAATCAAAATGAGCAGAAAGGTCCTTAATAGGAATCGAACCTGCGACCTCTGGGTTTGAGACAAGTAGTCTTACCACTAGACCACCTAGAACACATGGGGTTAAAGCCTGTGGCGACATGATTACGTAGGTAGTTGACCAGTGGCCACCATTGAAAGAAAGAAAGAAAGAAACATTTATTACGATGAACATTACTTAGTTAAGGACAGAGAACGTATACTGGAAAAAAGGACGAAATAGCACATAAATATTACAAGGAAATAAAAAGTGAACTGAGCAGTGCTATCCTGTCGCAACAGCGATGCCCATCGTAATGGGACTCCACTCAGCATATGCCGTGGCCCACGGTGGGGAAGGCCACGACCCTGGTTTTCAGTGGGCCTCATGCCGTGTCCTCAGTGGATGTTACGGACACTAACCTAAACTGCATATCAACATCAACAAGGCCGTATAAATATACTATAACAATAATAATAATAAGAAAATAGTTGGTCCACTCACCAGCGCAAGTGACGTGGCAGTCTTTGCCGGCGGGGCCCGACCGAGTGCACCAGTAGTTGTCGTTGATCTGGAACAGTCCGTAGTCCTTTGACCCGTTCTTGTTCACTGGGGAGACCTTCCCTGTGTTGCCGCCACTCTCATTTTCTATCAGGCATACCCCTGCGATTTACAAAAATCAGGTAAAAATTGATATAAATATAGGTGTTTTCTACCTTTAAGATAGAGCTTTAGATTATTCGTCTTTAACTTCGGCGGATACGACAAAAAGAATCGTAAGTAAGCAGTTAAGTGCCACGATACTACCACCGCTCTAAAATTGTAGGGCTCCAACGGCCAAAATAAAAACAATTGCGCTGCGCCTGACATATTAATGCACATCTTCAGAATCAGAATTCAAACAAACTGGATTTAGTCTAGACAATGTAGGCCTAAAAACTCCTACTAAAAAGTCCTTGATTTTGATCTTAGGGCGAAAAGACCTTCGTAAAATCTTTCATATTATTCAAATATACTTAAGTTAGACAATCACATTAAACAAATTCCTATCAAAGAAGATGGTTAAAATGAATCAAAACTGGAAAGTAAAACAAACTTACAATCCCTCATCTGGGCCTCCGGGAACCCTTGCGTCCTCAGCTCTTGCACAATTTCGCACCGCCTGAGTCGTACAGCGTCGCTATACCACAAAGCTGCCACGACGAACACTACAACGACTGCCAATCTTGCCATTTTTATATTTTATATTGATATAGTTACTATTGACTATGTCCAAGGAGTTTTGAAAACTGATGCGCTCTGATGCCCAGGAGTGGTTTATATACGCCACGTTTTCCCTGAGACTGCGGGCTTAATACTTATCTCTGTGTATTATGAAATCGGCACATGCATTATTATGTGCGATATGATACGGGAATCCCCCAAGCAAGCGGTTGCTGGGTGTCCGGATTTAACTCGCATTGCGATGAGACGAATGAACTCTGACATTGTAAGATAACTCTACNCGAGTATACCTACTTGTTATCTTGCTGTTAATTTCAAAATAAAATGATTAAAATGTTAGGTATGTACTTAGGTACACTACTCACGGACACGATAGTCCAGAGAAACACTGATTAAATCATTGGAGAAGGCTTTATTGGGGCTACTCCAAAATCATTCCACAATCTTCGCACTCCTTTTCGCATCACATCTGATCTTTAGTTTTTAATTTTTATAGTACCTACCTAAGTACTTCCGTTACTTATTAAGAGATGATAATTATTTCTGTTACAATCTTTTGATCATAGAGCAGCTTCTTAGCTTTGGGTAATCACCAATTTTAGTTCTAANAGTTCTAAAATAAGTTGGTACAGTCTACAGTCTCGTCTTCACCACATCACACTTTTTGTTACACAATAGCACTTATTACAATTAACATAAGATGCCAAATATATTTAGAATGCTTAGCAGTTGCTGATGTCCGGCAGGGATTCTTGGCAGTGGTGGTTCCAGCCACTCCAAGCCGAGAAACCGAAGCGTCTGTAGATCAGCTTGGCGCAGTCCGAAGCCTTCGTGATGTCGTCGGTGATAACCTCTGAAAAAATATCACATTTTAAAGGCATGCAAGGCGTTTGGATTTCATCATAATCATCGGGTCCTTTAGTCTACACTGCAGGAGTACGACTTTCTCTAATTTACCAGATGCAAATGGAGTGGAGGCCTCGTACCGGAAAGCGCAGCGTAGGACGTCCACTAACCGGCTATTGTGGAAATCATTGGGGGAGGCCTATGTTCAGCAGTGGACGTCCTGTGGCTGAAATGATAATCATGATGAAATGGAGGACTTGGCCTACACTCCCTAGTATTCGAGGCGAGCTTCACCACCATAAAGGAACTGGCTATTTTATCTATAACCAAAACACAACAATGCTATTAACATTGTTGTTATGTTAACAAACTTGGTAAGGTGGTGGTAGTCAGCCAGGCTGGTTGTAAAACACGCCCTACGACCAACCAAACCGTTCAGAAAATGCTGCCCACACTGGGGATCAAACCCGGGACCTCTGGTTTTAAGTCAGGTTGTCTCAACCGCAGAGGCCAAAGCCTGTAGCTATAGATGTAGTGACCACCATTAGTCCACTCACCAAACGGGAATATTCTCACCTCTCGTTCCCATCGCTACAACTCTGTGTAGCCAGGATCTACTTGACCGCCAATAAAAACCGTGAAGGTCAAGTCAAGTCAAGCCGTGTGGTGACGGCAGAGTAGAAATACATTTGTCACCAACCCCTACTCTTCCCGCGGGTGTCGTAAGAGGTGACTTAGAGACTACACATCAAACAGAGCAGCAGCGCTCTCTGAAAAACATCAATATTTTAAACTGCGATCTCCAACCCGCCTGCGTGGGGATTATGGCAAAACCCTCCACTATAGTGGACTTTAAAGGGCTGTTGATGATGATGATGATGAAGGTCAAGTTTGTCCCCTAGTCCACTTACCAGCGCAAGGGATGTGGCAAAGGGCGGCAGGGCTCGAACGAGCGCACCACCAGTTGCTGTCGATCTGGAACAGTCCGTAGTCCTTGAACCCGTTCTTTTTTGTCGTAATCTTTCCTGTGTCGCCGCCACTCTCATTCTCTATCAGGCATACCCCTGCGATATACAAAAATCAAGCAAAGAATATCATTAGAGGTGGATCTTTAGAATTCGTCTTTATTTTCGGTAGAAACGAAAAAAAGGAATCGTTAAGCAGTAAAGTCCCGCTCTAAAATTTGAGGGCTCCAATATTAATTCCAACGACGACCACAATAAAATAAGGATGTTACTCTGCATTGCGCCTGATAAATTAATGCACATCTTTACACCGGGCTTTGAACTCAATCAAACTGGTTTTTAATCTGGCCAAAGTACTAAAAAGACCTTGATTTTGATCTTTGGGCGAAATTACCTTCATGAATAGCAAAACTTTGTCAGTTAGGCAAGAAGTTACCTTTATTTAAACATATTTTGTTGATATCAAAATGAGTTAGACAAAAGTTGTAGACGGTTACATTAAATCTCACTCTTCATCGTTCGTTCGTTCGTTTCAGCCAAATGACGTCCACTGCTGGACAAAGGCCTCCCCCAAGGTTTTCCACAATGAACGGTCCTGCGCTGCCCGCATCCAGGCTCTTCCCGCGACCTTTACCAGATCGTCGGTCCACCTAGTAGGAGGCCTGCCCACGCTACGTTTTCCAGCCCGTGGTCGCCACTCGACGAACTTTCCTGCCCCAACGGCCATCGTCTCTACGAGCTATGTGCCCCGCCCACTGCCACTTGATTTTAGCANTAGAAATATATTTGTTGGTATCAAAATAAAGTTAGACAAAAGTTGTAGACGGTTACATTAAATCTCACTCTTCATACGTTGTGGTAAATAGGGTGAATAGACATAGATTAGGAAGTAAATAAACGTACAATCTCTCATCTGGGACTCCGGGAACCCTTGTCTCGTCAGCTCACGCACAATGTCGCACCGCTTGAGTATCTTGGCGTCGCAAGACCACAAAACTGCCACGACGAACAATACGACTGCTAATCCTGCCATTTTTTTTATTGTTACTGTCTGACTGCTACTGGCTACTTATGTCCAAGGAGTTTTAAATACTGATGCGCTCCGATGCCCGGGAGTGGTTTTTATATACGCCACGTTTTTCCTGAGACTGTGGGGTTATCTGTGTGTATGTGAAATCGCAAATGCATTATTAGCATGCGTGGGGAATCCTTCTAACGGTTGCTTGGGTATCGGGATTAAACGACTGAATTTTGATGAGACGAATGCATTTTGACATTACATTTAAGATAACTGTTTTTAATATTTCTAAATAAAACAGTTAAAATGTAGGTACACTACCTAGATCCCTAGAAAATGTAGGTAGTCCAGTAAAAACTTATTATAACATTGGAAGAGGCTTTATTGAAGAAGGTGACAGAAGAGAACATAGAAGATAAACAGACTGCGTAATAGGAACATGTGAAACTTTTTATGATAAGTAAGTGTAGGCATATAATGTGTAGGTTTATTTAATATTTTTGTTCTGGAATTTATTGTATGAAGAGAATCAGTAGTGTTAAGAACTACATAGTTAATAAATAACTAAGATTATTATTGTGTAGTACAGAGTTTTTAATTTCGTAAATTACCTACTTTGCATAGTTACTATCCTAATTTTATTAGTTTAATCTTGCATGACACTGACGAATATACGTCCAGATTTTAAGTAGGAATCATGAATACCTACAGGTTTTCATATAATAAGGAACAAAAACTACAATATACATTATGTAATTTGTTTATTTACTTCTTAGCTTATGAAAGTTTATACAGCTGTTACCAAGTAGGTACCTAAGTAGTACCAAGTGGTAGTGCAGTGAAAAAAATAGTCTCCAAAATCATACTCTTCGCACTACTTTTTGCATCACATCTTAATCTTTAGTTGTTAATTATTATAGTAGGTACCTACCTTCTTCTTATCTGTTACAATCTGTTTGATCGTAGAGCATCTTTTAAGCTTTGGCTAATCATCAATTTTAGTTCTAAGTAATTAGTTCGAAGTAGCTTTTGTCCAGCAGTGGACGTATTTTTCTTCAGACTTCAGACGAATGAGTTGGTACAGTCTACAGTCTCTGGTCCACCACATCACACTTTTTGTTACATCATAGCACTTATTACAACTGACATAAGATATCACATGTTTATTTTGATGCTTAGCAGTTGCTGATGTCAGGCAGGGATCCTTGGCAGTGGTTCCTCCAGCCATACCAAGCCCTGAAGCCATGGCGTTTGTAGATCTTCTTAGCGCAGGTCGAAGCCTTCGTGATGTCGTCGGTGATAACCTCTGCAAGAATATCACATATTAGTGGCATGCTTAATTTTTATCATATTCATCAGGTAATAGTCTACAGTGCAGGAGCACCAACTTCTTGAAGTTACTAGAGGCAATTAAAATATAAAGGCTTGGCCTAGATCTGGGGCTCCCTAACTTATTAGAGAGGCGCGGATTCGACCATAAAAAAAATACGCACCCGCNGCGCCCGTCATCTTCCAGTCCAGATTATTTACTGGTTGTATCGCGCAGTCTGGAATATAATATTCTCTCAGCGGTCGCAGGTTTTTTGAAACTACACAGATGGCCCGCGCTCCCCTTTTCAGGTCTTAGCGTCTCTCTTGAGGGGCGCGCCCCCCACTTTGGGAACCCCTGGCCTAGACTCCCCAAGCTGACCAGACAGGTTGGCGAGCTTCACCCGGAATCTTCAACCATAGAGGAATATATCTCATTTTTAACTGCCGAAACAAAACAATGCTGTTGTTAACATTGTTGTTACGGCAACAAGCATAGGTAAGACCACGGGTAAGACGACCAACCAAAATGTTGCTCCCACTGGGACACCGGGACCTCTGGGTCTACTCACCAGCGCAAGTGACGTGGCAGTCTTTGCCGGCGGGGCCCGACCGAGTGCACCAATATTTGTCGTTGATCTGGAACAGTCCGTAGTCCTTTGACCCATTCTTGTTTGTTGGGGAGACCTTCCCAGTGTTGCCGGCACTCTCATTCTCCACCAGGCACACCCCTGCGATTAAAAAAAAGATAGACTATTAATTAGAGGCCGTTCAGCTTCGCCATAAAAAAAAATATCGTAAAGTATTATTCGTCTCACTGTACAAGTAGGTATAATCGTACGACCGGACCACGGTAGCCGAACCGTTCTAAAATTTTAGGGCTAGTTACTATATTAATTTATTTCGATACCAAAACTAAAAAAAAACACTTGCACTGCGCTCTGCGCCTAATAAATTATTGGTTTTTAGTCCGGACAATACTAAAAAGAACTTGATTTTAATATTTGGGCGATAAGACCTTCATAAAGCAATATCGGCAAGAAACAAAAAGTAAAGTTTATATCAAAATTAGACAATAACGTTAAATAAAGCCATATATCCACAACAAGGGTTAAAATAAATTGAGTTATTGTTACCTTATAAGACAGACATTAGGAAGTAAAAAAAACTTACAATCTCTCATCTGGGACTCTGGGAAACCTTGACTCCTCAGCTCACGCGCAATGTCGCACCGCTTCAGTATTTTAGCTTCGGTAGACCACAAAGCTGCCACGACGAACAACACAACGACTGCTAATCTTGCCATTTTGATTTTTTAACTTACTGACTGCTATTGACTATATCCAAGGAGTTTTCAAAACTGATACGCTGCAATGCCCGGGAGTGGTTTATATACGCCACGTTTTCCTGAGACTGCAGGCTTATCTGTGTGTATGTGAAGTCGCATGCATTGTTAGTATACGTAATAGGGGAATCCTCCAAGCTAACGGTGGTTTGGGTGTCGGGACTTAACTCTCATCGATCAGATGAATGAACTCTGACATTTTTAGATAACTCGTTTGCCTTTAATTGTATAATAGGTAGTAGTTATTAATTACAGAATAGCTAGCTGGCTAACTGAGAAGGTAAATCAACCAAAATCACTTCATGGTATAATTTATGTTATCATTCTATTGTTCAAGCTTTTAAATTAATACAGCATTTTTGTGTTCCGACAATTGGAGGTAAGATAACCAGTTCCTCTGTGGTTGAGGATTCCGAGTGAAGCTCTCTTCGACCTGATCATCATTTTCCGTCAGGTGAGATGCAGGCCAAGAGCTTACTCGTTGTGGATAAAAACAACTTATTTATACGTTCTTTCACACAGAGAACACCTCACAGACCATAAATTAAATTCCAGAAACGATTAATTCTTTGCACCGACATTTTTTTACTTATCTACATAATAATTAACCGCCTTCATTTCGAATATCAGCTTGAACTCATCACCTTTTTATTAACTAGATGTACGTGCGTATTAAAAGGTATCAGGTAGAATTATCGCGGCGAAATTATTTATGATACTCGTACATACCATATTGTATACAAGTTTTATTTATAAAATGATTAAAAGTGTATTTGTTTCGCTCTTGATAACGATTGACCCGAGGCTGAGGACATACGTTGTTTGTATATTATTATGCTACAAAGAACTTAAAGGTCTTATTATGTGTCAAAGGCCTTACACACATGTCCTTGGTGGTGCATGTGCATTATAAAAGGTGTAGTAAACATCGAGTAAATAAGGCCAATGAAAAGGCCATGATACTCTTGATCACACTTACTGAAGTGTGCCAGTCTTTTAAAATAGACACTACAGGCGATTTTCTGGCAATTGGACATCGTTTCACATCTCCCTGCTATCGTTTAGAAAGTTGTTACTTACCCCAAAGATATCAACAACAACTAGCGCCTTGTTTTAAAATGTAGAGCATTAAAAAGGTCTATTCTACTTTTATCACCTGGATTTGATCACCCAGGTGATCAAAATGGAGTTCTCATCCATGGGTGATCAAAAGTATACAACAAATATACCATGGCTGTAGAACAGATTAAAATAAAATAGGTCTGAGCTTGGAAATAAATAAATAAATTAGGTAGAGTGGTAGAATAGTAGGAACTTAATATGTAAAAGTTTTTAAGACAATGTGCCTTTATTTAATATTTTTCCCCTGTTGAATACTGGCCATAACAATAACAAACACAATGACTTCTCGTTATCGATTTGAGCAATTCGGATGAGGAAAGAACATTTCAATAATACACAGGTGCCTATGCGTGATGATTCATTATACCTACAATCTACAAATTAGTTATCATATATCATAGAGAGGGAATTCACCTGTTTTTTATTGCATTGATGCAATGCTATTTGCTTAATGACAGAATCACTTCAATAAATTTTTTAACCATGAAATCTTTTTAACACTAAGTATCACTAGGTACTTTACTAGGTATTAGTACAATTTCCAAGTAGGAATGTAATTAATTGTTTTGTTCATGAAATAGTAAAACAAAATGAATACATTTAAATTATTGTTAGTAGCTTACAAGATTACATTTTATCGTCGTTTTCCTGTTTGGCTAATAATTTCATAAAACCTTCATATTTGTATTAAACGAGATAGGTTTATTTTGTTATTTACCAATAATACAATTACATAAATTTCAACCATTTATTTCTACAATTAAACTAAATATTCCATAATAAAAANAATTAAAAAAACAACTTAACTACGGCTTACTACTAACATTCGTTGTAATTGGAGTAGTGGTATCAATGACTGTTGTTGGGAAGCTTAAAATGGTGGTAGGGTTACCACTAGTGGCCGTGGGGATGGTATTAGTGCTGGGGAGAATGGTCAGTTCCTCTCTCCTAGTGGTCAGGATGTCAGCTACATTGGCCACAGTTGAAGCAACATGCCTGGAGTCTGAGATTCCTTCGATTGGTTCCTCTGTTATGTGGTGGTCAGCGCTTGGGTTGGCATCCGCTAAAATGATAAAAATATGTTTACTTTTATAAAGGAATTGTCTTTAGCTAGTTTGAATCACACTAGATTATCTTACTTGAGCTGATCACATAAACTCTAAAATGTTTTTTGCCACAAAGTTATATTTGGATAGGTTATTTTTTAAGGATTTTAGAGCTAAAGATTGTTAATTAAGAGAAATGTAGAGAAAAATAGATTATGTGGTAATACTTAAGTATTTTCTGCCATTGTCCGCGGCCGACCTTCTAGTATTATTCAAATTTCTGAAAATAAAATTATAAAATTGTATTAGTCATTATCTAGATATTTATTTAAATGGGTAGGTATTAAGGGAAATCAGGCCATCGTAAGTAAGAACTAAGATAGGCCGTCTGAACCTGACTACAAAGTAAATACCTTCGTAATTGTAGCGTTTAGACTTAATTTCCATAGATATATTCTATCCCAGCACTGGGCTTAATCTTAAGTAGACCGGCTATAAAATTGTGATTGCCCCATAGAGCAAAATAATATTTATTTCTGATAGGACGATAACGACGAAGTGGACGCTGATTGTAAAACGGTTCACGGAATTCTCAGAAGCCTGCCATTTGCAAATAAATGTCTAACAATCGATTAGTTGTATACCTAATCGATTGTGAAAGATTTGCAATTGACAGGTACAAAATATGGAACATTAAAGTATTTGTTAGCTAAGTGCGTATATAAAAGGTAAAGGCCTCGTCAGACAGAAAACGTGGCTGGTCTCGGCATAACAGTTTTCAGGAACCATGCTTTTGGTAAATTAGTTCAAAAGTTGTCAAAAACGACTGAAAAATTAAACGTAGTTCCGTCCTACTGAATTTCAGCCACAAAAAGCTTGACCCAATTCTTGAATCTTGCTTAATTCGTAACTTTAGCTTTTAACGACTGAGGCTGAGTTGACATTAAGGCTGAGTTGCACCACCTAAATTTAACGGTAACTATGACGATAACCGGTGCTTTTTGAATGGAATTTGACTGATTTTTGACGTTTGTCAAAGTTAAAGTAAGATGGTGCAACCCAGCCTAAGAATCAAAGAATGCAACTCTATGTAACTGTTTGTTGTCCCAAATAAAAAGAAAAAAAAAGAAAAAAGGAAATGAGATGAGATTTTGAGATTATTCTCACATGACTTCCATGATGTCTTTTGTGACAGTAGAGCCGTCATCGAGGCTGAACACGGCCTGGTACTGGCCGTCATACTCCTCGCTATACTTGTCGATGTGGATCGTTATCGCCGATGAAGACACCTGCAATTAAATATCCTTGTACATTTTACACTGCGCTTCTATTCCCAAACTAAGCAAAGCTTGTACTATGGGTAAGTACTAGACAACGGATATAAACATACTTAAATACTCTTTTTTGTAAATACATACTTATTATACATGCAAAACACCCAGTCCAATACAAACAAATATGTTCATGCACACAAATGTTTGTACCTCAGATCATAGAAGTTTGTACTGTGCGGGAATCGAACCCGCTACCTCCGGAATAGTAGTCCGTTTCGAACCACTATACCAAACGGCCGATGTACCAACGAATTAGAGACTAGTTAGGAAGTAGGATGCTGGAAGTTTTTTTTTCTTTCGATGGTGAATTGATTTCGCCCACCCACCTGAAAAAAAAAAACAATGTCAATGAGCACTCACCTTAAATGTGGCAGGTGATGAAGTCTGGTCTGGATCCACCAAATTTCTCTCCAATTCTTCAGCGTTTGTGGGAGACGTGAGCGGTATACCATTTGCATAAACCTGTGGATATTTGCTGAATCATTTTAGGGCCAAAAACTAGGTAAGTTGTAGTTTAAGAGTAGGCAAGTCGCTACACAAGAACAGTTAATTGTGCTTGTTGCAATGCCCTTTGAGAGTCGATGATTAGTCATTCAATATGATAAATTAGGTTTAGATTTAACTTACTTTTTCAACGTTGCAAGTTTTAGCACATTGGTATTTAATAGCCTGCTCGAATGGCTCGTTTTCTTTGGGAGCGTCGACCTTTTCAAATGTTGGTATTGTGACATCTGAAACCACGCAAAAGATTATTAGATTATTAGATTTATTAGGAGATTAAGATTAAGATATAATAACAGAAAGTCATAAAATCTTAACATTATAAATATTAACCTAACATAGGGTTGTAAAATCATAAAACCTAAGCTAGCTAATAAATTAGGTAAAAGTTCGAAGTAAACTCTCTCTTTACTTCGAACTTCAAAGTTACTGTTATCCACCTGAAGCATTGAACTTTAACTGTGTCTCAATTTACTTTGAAATATTTAAATTCGTTAAGTTTATTGTCATTTGGTCACATTATTTATCCATTGAATGAAGTGTGCTTACCTGGTGCTGTAGGTAAAAGATATTATTAAAAAATACAGGGTAAATAAGACCAATATTAAGTACCTAATTTCAATTAATAAATCGTTATGTTTGGATTTTTTTATACAGAGCATAAAATGTAATTAAAACTTACAGTTGTCTGAAAAGAAGATACCAAGAAGTTTCAAATAAAGAAGACATTTAATAAACTGTAGTTTTAAATACTGTAAGTCCTGAAACTGAGCTAGTTTCAGAATTTTAAAGACACTCACTGTCTATAACCGCTAAAAGGGTTTCGTAGGTCTGGTTCCCTTCTTTGAACACCCCTTTGTAGACGCAGGAGTGACTATCTTCGAAGCTGCATGAGAAGTACATCATAAATAAATTCTTGCAAATGGTTGAATAGAAAATGTGTATAATAAATGTTGCTTTTTTGTTTTGCCTCGGCATAGTAGAATATGAATATCATAAAAGGCGACTAATCGACAAATATGCGAACAACAGGCATCCTGAATCCATCTGGCAGGTGGAAAATGAAGGCAAAACCTCCATTTGCCTCTGGTAAATTAAAGAGGGCAAGATCCAGTGTGGAGACCAAATGATCTGACGATAAGCTTTTTTTGAATGATCTCAGCATAATCTTAATTTTTCAAGATTGCCTGCCCTAAAATGTGAGTCATATTTTTACATATTAACTGTTAATACTGTATATTCATGCTAACTAAAGTCGAACTAAAGTCGCTGACATAGCCCGACGGATTAGCAAGCTGTAGTGGCAGTGGGCAGGGCACATAGTACGCAGAACTGACGGCCGATGGGGCAGCAAGGTTCTGGAATGGAGGCCGCGTACCGGAAAACGCAGCATGGGACGTCAACCCTCAAGGTGGACCGACGGACTCATAAGGGTAGCTGAAGGCGCTGGATGCAGGCCGCTTCAACCGGTCAACATGGAAATCATTGGAGGAAGCCTATGTTCAGCAACGTCCCGTGGCAGAAATGATGATGATGATGATGATGATGATGATGATGATGATGATGATTAACCTCGGATAATTGATCTTGATAGTGTTGGGGGGCTCCGGGACTACGTGTCCGTTGTCCAGCACGTCGGCACCGTTGCAGAGGACGTTGACCAGCTGGCACTGCGGACAGTCGTACGTCATCGTCGCCTCCGCCGGCTCGCCCACGGCAAACGATGTGACCACATGCGTCGATTTCAGGTCTGGAACGGTTTGATATTTGTTTTTACAACGATTCATACAAATATACAGTTTAAATATATCATAGATTTAAATTAAATTGTGCAGTAGGGTAACTTGTGCGACCTTAGACTGTCAGAATGTGATCGGATAACCCTGTATGGAACTAAAAAGATGGAGAGATACGTAACGTTACGGTTTTTAGAAAAGATAGTTTTAAACTTGGACTTGAGGTTTACATTGCAAAACAATGATCATTGGTCAGAATTATCAAAATAACGGTAAATGAATGACTTTTCCAATAATCTTTAGTCATACCACAGGTCATAGGTACTTACGGTTTACTAAAATCAAAAAGATTATTATTTTAAAAGTCTGTTTACCATGTGTTAGACTATACATTCGACTCGACTCTACCATGTTCCAAAATGCCGTAGGCTTTTGGTTTATTTTATATCAAATTTCGTTTGTTTCAGCCAAATGACGTCCACTGCTGGACAAAGGCCTCCCCCAAGTATTTCCACAATGACCGGTCCAGCGCTGCCCGCATCCAGGTAGGCACTTCCCGCGACCTTCACCAGATGGTATATCGTAGAATAAGATATATTATCAAACTTATGTACAATCTATTGTATGGTAGAACTACGATGTCTTTTTAAAAGTAGTGATGCCATACTTACGGACATCTAAAAACAACATGATTCAGTATATTAAAAACAATTTTAAAATCATCTAGAAAATTCACAGGTTAATTTAGTATAACTAATATTACAAATATTATTGGTTATAGTTATACTACACCATACTACACTTACCTCTCTCTGTAACCAAACAACTTGTAAAATACTTCGTTTGATCATAAAAATAAAAATATTTTTAATAAAATTGCTTCTATTTATTGTTGATAACAATAAACCAGTAAAATCTTCTTGGGATTTTCTATCGCAAAACAAATGAAATGTGCCTACTTAAATGGATAACCGTGTAGAGTTTGATTCATTGGAATTAAATAAATAAGAAAATTTTAAGTCTCGTACCTGCCTCTGAAAATATAAAAATAACCGTTTATTCATACACAATCCAAATCCATACTAATTGTGAAATAGTATACAATACTAAGCAATAATACGAAACTATCAGATTTTAAAGAAAGGTGATGTTATTTAAAATAAAACAACAAATTAATTATTTTGTACATTATGTAGATAAGTTTTGTTAATACTTACGATGTACTTGCATGATTCTTATTTTTTCCTCTACGCCTTCAGGGCTGTCTACGATCGCGAAGTAATGCCCGAAACTCTTCTTTGACATAAGTCCCAGGTTTATTTCGATAGTGCCTGCCCTAAAATATCATAGTCATATTAATCATAATAATTGAAATTGAAATTGAAATTGAAAAAATTTATTGTCAGACCGGGGTCCATAATAGTGTTAGTAACAATTTTCACTTAGCCTATGTTAGTAAGATACAAATAATGAAATATGAAGCCGCTTACATAGCACTGGAGACGTGCAAGCTAAGCCAGCGCCCCAGCAGCGGCGAGTCCCACCTGTCAGCCAATGCCCTCAGGATGCCATTTGTACTGCCGCGGAGACGCTCTAGGAGCGATGCGCTCCGCTTCCGAATTATCGCGTGGAAGCCGTCGGTGTGCGCTTCCGCAAACATGGTTGACGCGCTGCAGAACCGCGGCAGGCCAAGTAGCACCCTGAACGCATTGTTGTACTGCACACGCAGTGCGCTGTAAGCGCGCTGGGTAAAGCTGACCCATAGGCTGCACGTGTAAAGAGACTGGCAGTAAGCTTTAAAAAGCGTGATTTTTACTTCATCCTTACAACGCGCAAACCTACGTGCCAACATATTACAACGCACTGACAGCGCCCTGCGCTCCCTTTCTATGTCTACATTATCCTTTAAGTCATCTGTAACCCAGTGACCAAGGTATTTAAATGAGTTAACCCGTTTCAGAGGCATACCACAAAGTGTTAAGTGCGGAACTGATGAGTATGTTTTAGTCCGCGATTTGAAGATCATGAACTCACTCTTCGACACATTATATTTGAGTCCATGTGCCATCGCATACTCCTCGCATATCTTAAGCAGTTTACGCATAGCTGCAATCGACGGGGTCAGCAGCACCATGTCATCAGCATAACTAATATTATTAATACAAACGCCGTCGATATGACACCCGACCTTGGTGCTGCTGAGCCCCTCGATCAGTCGGTTCATGTACAAGTTGAAGAGGCTTGGCGAGCTCAACCCCCCCTGCCTCACCCCGCACTCCAACCTGTACACATCCGAGAACGCCCCTGCCCACTTAACACTGTTCTTTTGATTGCTGTACCAATACCCAAACATTGACACGATCTCAGGCGGTAGGTTTGTTTCGTTGCTTAGCTTTTCCCATAGTATGTTATATGAGACTAGGTCGAACGCCTTTGATAGGTCCAAATAGCAGGCGTAAACGGGTGTTTTTCTGTCTGTATAGTACTGGACGGTCTGCTTAAGACAAAGAATAGCGCTTTCCGTTGACAAACTTGGCCTGAACCCAAACTGAGCATCGTGTAGGTCAAGGTGCCGACTCAATTGTTTATTAAGCAGACTGTCCAGTACCTTGGCTATAATTGTAGCTAACGAAATAGGCCTGTAGTTAGACAGATAATAATCATAATCATTTATTTGCAATTAAACATGGTAAAGGTATAAAGATGTTAGGTACAGACAGTGAGAAGGATACATCTTTAGCTAAAATTATAAGCATGCAAAAGTTAAATGAGAAACACCACAATATTAGCGACGATTCTAAAGAAGAACAAAACTACAGCAAGTCAAAGAACTCTTTTAAATCGTAAACTTTTAATACTATCTATTCAAGCTAACTTTTGATACGGATTTGCTCGCTTTCCCTCACTTCCCGACTGGACAGCGTCAGGAATGTTGGCCAAATCCTCAATTTTGTCTCGGGCAAATTGGAGAGTCGTGTTCCTGCAGCGGAGAATAGCTGACGGACTGACAATGACAATGCTTCGGGACTTATCTTGAGTATCAATACGTAACCAACAAAAATCATCGATGTATTTTTTTCAGCCACTGATTTTTCCTTTTTCATTGGTTGCAGGGTCCCCTACGTAGTTTCGAATGGTGCTGTAGCGACCAAGGCCCGGTTTCCACCAAAGCAGCAGGGCTACTTCGAAACGCTGTTTACGTGGTTTCGGTTCTATCTATTCTATCTGTCACCGTCGCTCATCCTGGCATCTCGCTTTGCATGAGAGGGATGACAACAGTTGAGACTTCGGATAACGTTTTTCGGAGTAACCTGCCGTCATACGTTTTTAAATAATTTGACAACAGCGGCAGTGCGGAGAGGAGAAGAGAAGTGGAAATAATGAAATACTTTACCCTCTACGGGACTATTCCCACCTCTCGTTCCCACCACTGCAACTCCTGTGTAGCCAGGATTTACAGCTTAACCGCCATAAAAACCCAACCAATGAAGGTCAAGTTTGTCCCAGGGAAAGTTGAACTGTCCAATGACCCGCAACGAAATTAATCAGAAGAACATCGGAGGATTTCGAGATTAAGGTTCGACTTCCCTCCATAGCAAAGCGGATGACAGGTGACAAACAAAGGTTTAATACCTTAAGAAAAGATTATGCACCACGGACAATAAATATCAATGAATAAATATCTTTATGAGCAGGCAGGCAAGCATACTTTACCCTCTGTCATCATGTTTAATCTTGCACACGGTAGGATGTAGGTTGTAGACCTGCCACGTGGCAGCGCGCACTCTCACATGTTTGACGCGGTGGCCTTTCCCTTGGAACGAGATGGTGTGGACAGCCCCTATCTGTCCTAACGCCAGGTTTAGAGAAATTTCGTGAACTACCAGTTCGGTTCGGCCTGAAACGCACAAATTCATTTTTGTTGATCGCAATACCTACACGCTTTAGGTTGCATTCTAGCATTAACTGATAATAATTGTTATGAGCAGCGCGCGCGCGTGTAACGTGCGGAGCGCGAACGCGTACTGGCGATCGATGCGTCGCGGCTATGGGCGGGACGCCGATCGAAAATTCTAGAGCGCTGTAACCGTTAGCGGGGCGCGGCGCGCGGGGTGTAGCTCGCGCGGGATTCGAGCTATGCCCATATCGGGTAGCGTAGCGTGATGCCGGCGCGATAGGCACGTAGTAACCGGTTTGCTATATGCTCCCCCTCTAGACCAGGGAAACGCCCTCGTCCGTGGTCTAGCATTAACCATCATCCCCCCCTAAACCTTACGTGGTCTTCCGCGTTTCCTTTTAGGAATAACGGGTTTCGGAGGGACGGCTTCGCTACCTTGGTAACGGGTAAGATCTTGTGTATGATATCTCCCTATAACAATGTCAGGCTGGTCGGTACTGGAGATGTTGTAAGTAGTAGGGCTAATCTTCTCTGCTATGCGATAAGGTCCATCACGGCGTGGGAAGAACTTGGCCGTCAGGTCTTTGGAGCCTTTACTCAGGAGGTGAGATTTTAAAAGAACTAAGTCACCAACCTGGAATGCATCTGAGGGACGACGCGTAGAATCAGCGTACTGCTTAGCCTTATCCTGTTGGATCTCCACCCGTTCTCGCACAGCTGACAGTGACTTCAGGAATGTCCTGAGATAAGGGGTAATTTGTGGGACGAAATTGTCTTTGTTTGAGATAGCACGAAGGTCGTGTACGACCTCTGTGGGGGACCGCATTTCTCTGCCGAAAGTTAGAAAAGCTGGTGACGTACCTGTAGTGCGGCACTTTGCACTATTCAAGGCAAAGCGGATCACCGGTAGCTTTACTGGCCATGATGTGTGGTCCTCTTCCACGAGATGTGCTAACATTGCTTTCAGGTCACGGTTTTTGCGCTCGGCAGGATTCGCTTCTGGATGGTACAATGGCACGAAGTTTTGTTTGATATCCAGGACTAACATGCACTCACGCATTACTGCGGACACGAACTGGACACCGTTGTCCGAAATAATCCTGCGAGGTAAACCGTACCGCATAAAATACTCCTCAATAAGAGTGTGTGCACAGGCTTCTGCTGTCGCTTCCTTGAGAGCGTACAGTTCCGTCCATCTGGTTGCTGTATCTTCCACAAGTAAAATCCACCGCTCCCCCTGGTCTCCTTCCGGTAACGGGCCGAATAGGTCAATGGCTAATACCTCGTTACGTTGGTTCATAACCGGTGTCTGAAGTAAACCTTGGGGTTTGGTATTGGGTGCCTTGTATCGTTGGCAGTGGATGCAGGCTTTCACGTAGTCCGTGATTTTCCTCCGCATCCCTGTGAAATAATAAAGTTGGGCAACCTTCTGGTACGTTCTGTCGATGCCTGGATGACCGGCTGTTGGGGAGTCGTGTAGCTCCTTTAGTATTTCTGCAACTTGGCCGGCTGGAATAACTAACTGAGGGGTTTCGCTATCAGAGTCCGGATTGTATCGGAACAGAACCCCTTGGTCCATAAGGTAACCCCTCTCTGACCATCTTTTGGCATTGAGATCGTTGGTGTCCTCCAGGTCTTTGACAATTTTTCCCACTTCAGGGTCTGCGAGTTGTTCTTGGCGCAGTTGGTTTGGTGGCTTCGTGGGCAGATCGCAGATGATCGAGCAAATACCGCAATCTTGGCTTGTCTCGGATGAACACATAGGTCTGCTAAGCGTGTCTGCCACGACGTTCGCCTTCCCTGGGGTATATTGGAACTGGATGTCGAAAGACTGGAGTTTTAGAGCCCAACGGACTAACCTTCCTGCTGGCGATTTCAGGGATAGCAGCCNAGGCTATATATCGTATTTATTTATTATACAGTGTGAGTCACGTTAAAGTGTACATATGAAAATAGATGAAACTAGACCTATTTTTATCGACAAAAAAGAGGTCAAAAATTTTTTGAGATTTTTTTTTAATTTATTATATTATTTTTTATCTTCCAATTTACTTATTATAAAGAAAACGTAATAACTTTTAAACTAAGCGGTATATCCTGATAAAATAAAAACAATAATAATGCAAAATAACAGGCGATACAAAAAGAATACAAAAAATACACAAAAAAGGCCAACAAATAATAAAAAATGATACTTTTTGAAAAAAAAAATTGCTTTTAAATTCGTGTTTTTTTGGTTATTTGATAAATTTTTCCAAAAAATGCCCCTATAACCGGTGGTTTTTATTACTTCGTATTATTTTCTATCGTATTACCTTCGTAAAACCAAAAATCGCATGGCTCTATCCCTATCACAACGTTTGTAATGATCGATTGAACTAAGCCTCTCCGGGCGCGCCATTCAACGCTTCGTTAACAACGAAACTGAAAATGGCTCTAGATTTGTAATTTTGATAAAGACAAGTTAGATTTCAAATAAAAACAAAAGATTTCGAAGTAAAATAAGAATTTTAGTTAAAATTAAAATTGTATCTACCTGAAGCGGAGAATAATGTTGTGGCAGGCCTTTGTTCAAACGATCATAGCAAATGTTGTGATAGGGATAGAGACATGCGATTTTTGGTTTTACAAAGATAATACGATAGAGAATAATACAATGTAGTAAAAACCACCGGTTATAGGGGCATTTTTTGGAGAAATTTATCAAATAACCAAAAAAACACGAATTTAAAAGCAATTTTTTTTCAAAAAGTATCATTTTTTATTATTTTTTGGCCTTTATTGTGTATTTTTGTATTTTTTTAATATTGTCTGTTATTTAGCATTATTACTGTTTTTATTTTATCAGGATATACCGCTTAGTTTAAAAGTTATTACGTTTTCTTTACAATAAGTAATTGGAAGAAAAAAATATCTATAAAAAATTTAAAAAAAATCTCCAAACATTTTTGACCTCTTTTTTGTCGATAAAAATAGGTCTAGTTTCATCTATTTTCATATGTACACTTTAACGTGACTCACACTGTATATTTTACTAGCTTTCCGCCCGCGGCTTCGCGCGCGTGGACTACATTATCTACATATTTTACGGAACCCTATTTTTTTCCAAAATAAAATTTAGCCTATGTTACTCGTGGATAATTAGCTTTCGAATGGTGAAAGAATTTTAAAAAACGGTCCAGTAGTTTTTGAGCCTATTCATTACAATCAAACAAACAAACAAAGTTTTCCTCGTTATAATATTAGTGTAGATATATTATTTATGTATGTAGCATATTTGTTTTTGTTTTTCTTTCCTGCACTAGAAGTACCGCCAAACAAATTTCTTTTCTGCTCTATTTTGTATTATTATTATAAAGAGCTGTGGTTTTCTGAATAAAGAAAAATAAAAAATAAATAAAAATACCCAAAGGTAAACTGGTCGAGAATGCTTTAGTGCACTAAGTTCGCCTTATGTACAAATTTATTTTGGCATAAAAGTTTAAATAAATAAATAAATGCCGCTGTAGCGACTAAGGCCCGGTTTCCACCAAAGTAGCAGGGCTACTCCGAAACGCTGTTTACGTGGTTTCGGTTTTATCTGTCACCGTCGCTCATCCTGGCATCTCGCTTTGCATGAGAGGGATGACAACATTCGAGACTTCGGACAACGTTTTTCGGAGTAACCCCTCATAGCGGAGAAGTGTCGGGCCGTCATACTTTTCTAAAGAATTTGACAACAGCGTCAGTGCGGAGAGGGGAAGTGAAAATAATGAAATACTTTCATCATCATCATTTCAGCCATAGGACGTCCACTGCTGAACATAGGCCTCCCTCAATGCTTTCCACGTTGATCGATTGGTAGCGGCCTGCGTCCAGCGCTTCCCTGCTACCTTTACGATATACGAGGTCCCACGCTGCGTTTGCCGGTACGCGGCCTACATTCCAGAACCTTGCTGCCCCATCGGCCGTCAGTTCTGCGTACTATGTGCCCTGCCCATTGCCACTTCAGCTTGCTAATCCGTCGGGCTATGTCAGCGACTTTAGTTCGTTTTTGGATTTCCTCATTTCTGATTCGATCTCGCAAGCATGAATGAAATACTTTACCCTCTGTCATCATGTTTAATCTTGCACACGGTAGGATGTAGGTTGTAGACCTGCCACGTCGCAGCGCGCACTCTCACATGTTTGACGCGGTGGCCTTTCCCTTGGAACGAGATGGTGTGGACAGCCCCTATCTGTCCTAACGCCAGGTTTAGAGAAATTTCGTGAACTACCAGTTCGGTTCGGCCTGAAACGCACAAATTCATTTTTGTTGATCGCAATACCTACACGCTTAAGGTTGCATTCTAGCATTAACTGATAAAATAATTGTACTATTTTCTCTTTCGATGGTCGTCTGTTGTGTAGGTATGTCTTTGATAAAGCAGATTTAATGCACTGTTGCTTGTTGAATGTAGGGCTTTTGTGAACTTTTTACTTGTTTATTAGCCTAGTTTCCTAAAAAAATTGTTTTAGTCCGTCATGTTTAATATCAAAAAATAATATTGGACACATATATTTTTATTTATCAATCTAACAAATAATTTCATAGTTATGGTGCGTTGAAGTTCCGCGCGACGTCACAAAGTGCGGCACATTTATGCACTCATTGACGTCACGGGCCTCTTCTTATTAACTTTGGCGCTCCCTTTAAATTTTCATTAGTTTGAAAAAGTGAAAAATACGTATAGAGTATTTTTTAAANGGATTCGAGCTATGCCCATATCGGGTAGCGTAGCGTGATGCCGGCGCGATAGGCACGTAGTAACCGGTTTGCTATATTGTACTATTTTCTCTTTCGATGGTCGTCTGTTGTGTAGGTATGTCTTTAATAAAGCAGATTTAATGCACTGTTGCTTGTTGAATTTAGGGCTTTTGTGAACTTTTTACTTGTTTAATAGGCTAGTTTCCTAAAAAAATTTTTTTAGTCTGTCATGTTTAATGTAAAAAAATATTGGACACATATATTTTTATTTGTCAATCTAACAAATAATTACACAGTTATGGTGC